CCGAAACGTCAGCCTTTCTGCTCCTATGATGCTGCTTAGCCTGCTGTGTTCATCCAGCTCTGCACCTTGTCTCTTACAGAAAGAGTTTGCCATCTCAGGACATTCCAAGCAATAAACACTGTATCAATGAACATTAGGCAAAAGCAAAACAAATGTGAGATTTTCCATAACTCATGTCAAATTTCACCTCAAGCTTCTCCAAGTCCTTTCTGACAAACCTGTTCCAAATATTAAACATCTCCATCAGGGCCACTCTTAAAATTTTTCCAGAGGAAAGCGCTCTGTACCAGCTGGAGGAACAGCACCTCATATTCCACCTGGAAACCCTACAACCCGATGGTCTCAATGTGGACTTCACAAGCTTCAAAATCTCCCCACCCCCGCCCCCACCCCCACACTACCCCCCCCCCCCCCCTTGTCCCCGCCTCCTTGACCTGTCTGTCTTTTCTCCCACCTATCCGCTCCTCCCAACTCACTGACCAACACCCACTCCCACTTCCTACCTATACTCACCTCACCTCTACTAGCCTCATCCCCACCTCCTTGACCTGTCCCCCCTCTCAGCTACCCCCCTCCCTCCTCACTGACCAACCCCTATCCCAACTCCCTACCTACACTCACCTTTGCTAGCTTCATCCCCATCTCCTTGACCTGTCCGTCTTCTCTCCACCTATCTGCTCCACTACCCACCTTCTATCATCGCCTCCCCCTCTCTCTATTTATTTCAGAGCCCCCTCCCCCTCCCCCTCCCCCATTTCTGAAGAAGGGTCCAGACCCGAAACATCAGCTTTCCTGCTCTTCTGATGCTGCTTGGCATGCTGTGTTCATCCAGCTCCACACCTTGTTATCTCAGGCTCCAGCATCGGCAGTTCCTACTATGTCTGTACCAGCTCAACTTTTTCTGACAGTTATATCCTCTTGATCCTATTAAAATCCTCATGAAGCTGTTCTCCCACATCTGGCATCATCTTCTAAAATCCCATCCTATCTAGCATCTCCTTATAACTCTAACTCTTCATTCCTGGCAACATCCAGGTAAATCTTTTCTGAACCCTCTCCAGCTTAATAATATCCTTCCTGTAACAGGGTGACCAGATGGGATACAGTACTCCAGAAGAGGCCTCACCAACATCCTGAACAGCTTCAACAGGATTCCCAATTTCTATATACAAAGGCCTGAGCAATGAAGGCAACCAGGCTAAATGCCTTCTTAACCACCCTGTCTACATGTGGCACAAACTTCAAAGAATCATGTACCTGAACCCCTAGGTCTCTTTGTTCTACAACACTACAAACAAGGCTCGACTTTTAGTTGTATAAGTCTTACCTTTGCTTGCTTTACCGAAATGCAATATCTCACATTTATCCAAATTAAACTCCATCTGCCACTCTTCAGCGCATTGAACCAATTGTTCAAGATCTCTTTGTAATCTGAGATAACCTTCTTCACTGTCCACTATACCACCAATTTTGCTGTCATCTGCAAACTTACTAACCATGCCTTCTATATATTCATCTAAATCATTTGTACAAATGAGAAACAAAAGTGGCTCCAGCACTGATCCCTGTGGAATACTGCTGGTAACAGGCTTCCGATCGAAAAAAACAACCCTCCACCATCGCTCTCTGCCTCCTGCCATTAAGTCAATTCTATATCCAATTGGCAAACTCACCCTGAATCCCACGTGATCTAACTTTACTAATTAGTCTACCATGTGGAACCTTGTCAAAGGCTTTACTAAAATCCATGGTCAACAGGAATACCTTAAAAGAGACAGAACAGTGTGAGCAAGGGAATGCCAAAGCTCTGGGGATAGGCAGCTGAAGGCACGGCCACCAATGGTGGAGATATTAAACTCAGAATGAGAACAGTGCAGAGTTATAATGCTGGAGGAGGTTACAGAGATGGGGAGAGGTAGAGACTTTTGTAAGCAAGGAAGAGATTCTAAACCTTGAGACATTTTTCATGCATCTAAAATTCACAAGATTGAGAAGACTGTTCACATTATGGCTTTCATATAGCATGCAAAACTAATTCAAGTTCATTTGTCACTGACACACTACACAATAAAGGAAGTGGTCCAATGGACCCCTTGAGCTTGTTGCCTTACTCAGTACAATCAAGGCTGACCTTCTAGCCACTTGCACGCCCCCTTGCATATCCCTTGCTTCTCTGACAGGCCAGAAGTTTCTCTATCCTAGCTCTAAATATACTCAACAATGGTTCATCCACAAAACTGTGGGGTAGAGAATTCTAAAGATGGATGAGGCTCCACCTTGGAGTGAAGAGGAGTAACATGAATCCTCTTCAGACAAAAGCGCAGATCACAGACAGGCTGTCTGATGAAGGAGATATCTGATTCTCCATGCCATGTTTCTATTTGTTGGCTATAGATACTGTGCATGTTAGTGAATTAATCCCAGTGTCAACTTTCCTTACAATTATATAGAAAACATGCTTTAAAAATGAGGATGCACATTCACACAGTGTCTTTCACATCAGAGTTCTTTGAATAGGTAAACAAAAGGTTTTGAAATGCAGTCACTGTTGTAGTGCAGGAACTATTTGGACACAGAAAGATCCCACCAAGTGATAATAAACAGATCATTTGTTATAGTGATGTTGGTTGTGGGGTCAGGGTTAGCCAGCACATTTGGCTGCTCTTTTGTCACCAGCAGCACAGACTGATTTGTCCTCAAGTCCCTGTAATATCTGACTGAGAGGAAAGAAGGCTATGCATTCAGGCCATGCATGAGCCACGGCCAGCACTAGCAGAGATATACAGTTGAGGCTCACTAGTGAAGGGCTGTTTGTGCATTTCAAGTTCACACCAATACATTGACGAACAGGACCAATTTCCACACTCTGTATTGTGAAGAAACTCCTCTGAAAGTCTGAGAAAACATGTTCAAAGCTAACAGGGACAACATGGCTAGTGCTGTTGCTTGCAGCTGCCCTCACCAGGAGCTCACACTTGCCTGTCTTATTCGGTCCTTACACCGCAACTCAACTTCAACCACCCAACCAACCAGTTACTCCTGAGGTTGACCCTTTGCTCTGCTGTCCTCCACTTTACCCTCACAAAGAGATCTCTGCAGCTTTTCAGCACTGATCAAATGGCTGAAATAATGGCGTTGACTTTTCCTGAGGTTTCTCACTTTTTAGAGGTCTTTGTGTTCTTGCAATTTCAAGTACTTCCTCGTGTGTCTTATGGCCTGCATATTTCTGGAAATGGAGATCTGAACATATGCCTTAGCACTGGCTGATATTTATCTCTCATCCAGCAGCAATCAAAACAGCTGATTTAGTCATTACCACATTGCTGTTCATGGGTTCTCACTGCGTGCAAATTGGTCATCACATTCATTACAACAGTGACCATTAGTCAAAAAGTACTTCATTGGCTATAAAGAGACATCTTAAGGTTCTGAAGAAACCCCACAAATACCTGACCAAGCACATTGAGAGAAGACCATGTAGTTTGACCAAGCACTCACCACATTAGATCAAATCTAGATTCCTTACAGTGATCCAGTTAGCAAATAATGTAACATTCCATGGGTTCTGATAGTATTAAAAGTAAGTTTCAAAGATGGCTAAATTGAATTTTGATCATTAAGACTAACAGTGGCCAACCGGTTGATTTCTCAATTCTAGAGTGTTGTCTGGGAAAAGTCCTCTCATTTCAAATTTCTTTAAATGGTTTTTGATTGCTTTGTAGGGTCCAGATTCTCCTTGACATCCTTTGCTTCTGGTCTCTCACTTGCAGTGTCAGACAGCATTTTTCGGATTAAGAGAGTCTGAGGACAAGAGACACAAAAGAGGTCTAGCACTTGCTGTTAATGTGAAGCAATAGAAATGATTCTCCCGAATCACACTGAAATCATGGCGCTGTTACCTTGACTTCACAGTTCTTCGGAAAGGACGAAGGGAAGTTTCCTTTTCGAATCTCGGGCCAATTCTAAATAAACCACAAACAAACACAAAGATTAGCAACTCCCCCTCAGGCTGTAACTGTGCTGATGCTCCAGTTTCCTTTTCCTTAACTAGCTTGACTGGAAGACCAGAAAGTAATTGGGTCTTTAATGTGGGATCTGGAAAGGGAATCACCAGAGGCTAGTCCTTCCAAGCCCTCCCTAAAATACACACATCAGCGCAAAATACACAAATCAAAACAGCTGATTTAGTCATTACCACATTGCTGTTCATGGGTTCTCACTGCGTGCAAATTGGTCATCACATTCATTACAACAGTGACCATTAGTCAAAAAGTACTTCATTGGCTATAAAGAGACATCTTAAGGTTCTGAAGAAACCCCACAAATACCTGACCAAGCACATTGAGAGAAGACCATGTAGTCTGACCAAGCACTCACCACATTAGATCAAATCTAGATTCCTTACAGTGATCCAATTAGCAGACAGTGACGAGGAATTTGAGCCACATTTCTAACCCAAGGAGTTGATCAAAGCCATTCTTACTGCTACTTAGCAATGAACCAAGGATTGGATCTAGACCCCAGGACTGCACACAGTTAGAGGGGCAATATTTATAGAAACATGCTTACAAACCTTAACCCAGCTATAATTATCTCCATCCAAGGGTTTGAACCTTGGGGCAGCTTGATCTCCATTAATGCTGACTGCTCAACAACCATTTAATGCTCCATTGAGTGTCAACTAGCTAGATACAGAGTGTCATCTTTCACTTAGAAGAAAGTTCTGTCGCAGACTGGCCAACAACTCCACTGTGCTAGCAGGTCTCCTGGGAGCAGTGAGTGGCACCTATTGCTGCAAGCTCAGACAGGGCTACCAGTCTGAAGCACCACAGAAAGCCCCTGGACCAGGTGGGGCACCTGCCTACAGCAGGGAAGCATCAGGTAGGAGGAACTGAGGGTTACTATTGGTGGGGGGGATGGTGGCGGTGAACATTCACTGGAGGGGGCAGACCACAAGGCCATGATTAGGAAGGGGAATCTGAGAGGGAGAGTGACAGGGGGAAGAACCTGCTTCCTTTTCTGCCCAAACACCCTTCTGAGCCCTTCTTCCCACTTTTCCTGAACTGACCTGCAGACCTCAGTACTGAGACCTGGCAAGAAACAGTCCTTAAGTGGTCATCAACTGGGGTAAGGGCAGGAATAGTGCTCCAGGAACCTGTTAAACAGTGGAGGGGTGAACAGGAAGGTAATAGAGTGGCGTCCCTGGAAACTTTGCAGCTAGCCCCTGTCTGCAAACCTGCCTGTGTGGGGGTTGTACAATTCTGCCCTTGGTTTCAGGACAATGAAAGCAAGCTGCATAATGATAGTGTCATTCAGAACGCCATGTGGTATGTCATCTGACTTCTCAATTAACGTGGGCAGATAGGACTCAAGCTGGCCATCAGGATGAGCTGTGCCCTTCTCTGCCCACTTGGGCATTCCCCACAATATCCCCAGATGCCTCATGTGAGGCCAAAGAAAATTCCCAGCTCCCACCCGTACTGCCGGCTGGTAAAGGAAGCACTGCTGATGACAATAAGTGATTGAGATACCTTGTTTTTTTCCATTGCAGTCCCATGACACATGAACAGAAGCTCAAAGAATATCAGGCCCAGTGCATAGATGTCAACTTTGTGGTTGTAATCCTGGCCTGAAATCTGCATTGAGAGAAAAAAAAACAAGTTGGAAAATCAGTTCAGGACACCTCTGAAATTTCCTCACAAAGTGTCTCTGCCCATCACCAAGTTACTCATTCAAACCTGTCCAAATAGCTTCCAATGGGGCACAGTGCCACAATCCCACAAACTGCTCTGGCACATTAGAAGCTGTATTACATGCTGCTTACAGGAGAAGAGGAGAAATAGGAGTACGCGTAGATCGTATGACTTGTTCAGCCTGCTCCACCATTGAATAAGATTGTGGCAGATCTTAAGTGATACGTTAAGGACAAAAGGGTCACTAGGGAGAGAATAGGGCCCCATAAAGATCAACCATGTGTGGAACCACAGAAGATGACAGAGATACAAAATAAGTATTTTGCATCACTGTTTATTGTGGAGAAGGATATGGAAGATAGAGAACATGGAGAAATAAACAATGACATCTCGAAAAATGTCTATATTACAGAGGAGGAGGTGCTGAATGTCTTACAATGTATAAAGGTGGATAAATCCCTGGGACCGGATCAGATGTACCCTAGAACACTGCGGGAAGCAATTGCTGGGCCCCTTGCTGAGATATTTGTATCATTGATAGCCACAGGTGATATGCCAAAAGACTGGAGGTTGGCTAACGTGGTGCCATTATTTAAGAAAGGTGGTAAGGGAAAGCCAGGGAACTATAGACCCTGAGCCTGACACTGGTGATGGGCAAGTTGTTGGAGGGAATCCTGAGGGACAGGATTTATATGTATTTGGAAAGGCAAGGACTGATTGGGGATAGTTAACATGGCTTTGTGCATGGGAAATCATGTCTCAGTAACTGGAGTTATTTGAAGAAGTAACAAAGAGGGCAGAGCAGTGGACGTGATCTATATGGACCTCAGTAAGGTGTTCGACAAGGTTCTCCATGGTAGACTAGTTAGCAAGGTTAAATCATATGGAATACAAGGAGAACTAGGTATTTGGATACAGAACTGTCTTGAAGGTAGAAGACAGAGGGTGGTGGTGAAGAGTTGCTTTTCAGACTGGAGGCCTGTGACCAGTGGTGTGCCATAAGGATCAATGCTGGGTCCACTGCTTTTTGTCATTTATATAAATGATTTGGATGTGAACCTAGGGAGATTTGGTTAGTAAGTTTGCAAATGACACCAAAATTAGAGGTTTAGTGCACAGTGAAGAAGATGGCCTCAGAATACAACAGGATCCTGATCAGATAGGCCAATGGGCTGAGGAGTGGCAGATGGAGTTTAATTTAGATAAATGTGAGGTGCTGCATTTTGGAAAGGCAAATCAGGGCAGGACTTATACACTTAATGGTAAGGTCCTGGGGAGTGTTACTGATCAAGGAGACTTTGGAATGCAAGTTCAAAGTTCCTTGAAAGTGGAGTTGCAGGTAGAATGGATAGTGAGGAAGGCGTTTGGTATACTTGCCTTTATTGGTCAGTGTAGAAGTTGGGAGGTCATGTTGTAATTACACAGGACATTGGTTAGGCCACTTTTGGAATACTGCTTGCAATTCTGGTCTCCCTGCTATAGGAAGGATGTTGTGAAGCTTGAAAGGGTTCAGAAAAGGTTTACAAGGATGTTGCCAGGGTTGGAGGGTTTGAGCTATAGGGAGAGGCTGAATAGGCTGGGGCTATTTTCCCTGGAGTGGCAGAAGCTTATGGAGGTGTATAAAATCATGAGAGGCATGGATAGGGTAAATAGACAAGGTCTTTTCCTTGGGGTGGGGGAGTCCAAAACTAGAGGGCATAGGTTTATATGGTGAAAGGGGAAAGATTTAAAAGGGACCTAAGGAGCAACATTTTCTGGTAGTGGGTGGTATGTGTACGGAATGAACTGCTGGAGGAAGTGGTGGAGGCTGATACAATTACAACATTTAAAAGGCATCTGGATAGGTATATGAATAGAAAGGGTTTAGAGGGACATGGGCCAAATGTTGGCAAATGGGGCTAGATTCATTTAGGATATCTGGTCGGCATGGACAAGTTGGACTGAAGGGTCTGTTTCCATGCTGTACAGCTCTATGACTCTCTGAGTCTAAGTTTCAAACTCCACTCTCACCCACTCACCATATCCCTCAATTCCCGAGAAACAAAAATTCTGTCTAGTTCAACGTTAAAAGTATTCAACAATCGGGCATTCACAATCTGCTGAGAAGAAGAATTCCATAGATTCACAACACTTTGAGTGATTTGAATCTGAATTTCTGCTCATTTCAGTTCTAAGTGATTGACCCCTTATCTTAAAACAGTATCTCCACGTTATAAATTTCCTGACCAGTGAAAATAATCAGTATCTTCCCTGACAAGCCCTTTTGAATTCTTGTATGTGTGACTGAGACTACTTCCCTCGAAACTCCAAAGGGTTTGGACCAAATTTACTCAGCCTCTCATCAGAAACAAGCCCCTCATCTTACCAATCAATTTAGTGAACCGTTACTCCAATGCAAGTATATGCTTCTGTAAATGCAGAGACTAAAACTACCCATAGTATTCAAGATGTAGCCTTTACCAAAACACAATACAATTGTAGCAAGACTATTTTTTTAAATTCACATATTCCAATCCCATTTCAACAAAGGCCAATATGCTATTTATCTTCCTAATTGCATGCTGCACAGATATACTAGCTTTCTGCATTCCTGCATGAGAACATCCAAACCTTTTTGAACATAACACTTGTAAATTTTATATCTCTTGAAAAATCTTTAGTGAATAACCTCACACTTCCCTATATTGTATTCAATCTGCCATCTTGCTGCCCACTCAGTTAGCTCTAACTTTAAAATCTTTGTAGCCTCTTTGTATCCTCTCACAACTGACCTCTCCACCTAGCCATGTATCAACAGCAAACTTAGACACATTACTCTTCATCTAGTCATAAATATAGGCTGTAAGTTGCTGAGGCCCAAGTACTGAACGTTGTGGCACTGCACTAGTCACAGCTTGCCAACTTGTAAAGGTCTTTTTACTCTTACTCTCTGCCTTCTGTCCACTAACCAATCTTTTATCCACCAGGATTTCCCTTCAGGAAAACCACGCTTACTTGTTGTAATCACACTATACTCTTCTAAGTGTATTGTTAAGACTTATTTCATAATAGATTCAGCATTTACTCAAAAAGTAATGTTAAGTTAACCGGCCTGTAAAGCACAGTTTAACGTTTTCTAACTTCCAGTCTGATGGGACTGCTCCCAAATCCTGATAAATAGGAAATACTCACTAACCTGCTACCTGCTCCCCTGTAACATCACACCTCCCCTCTTCTTACAGAATGTCAGTGTGATATCACAGGGGACAGAGGTAGCCCAGCACTAGCAGTCAGAGCCACTGATCACTTTCTCTTTTTGATGGCATCTAAAGCTTGTTTCCTTTGACAACAGTTCCACATTCCAACTACCTTCTGAATTTTGTCTTTATTTCCTGGATTTATTGTGTATCTAAGTTCCTACCTTCAGATTCTTACAAATGGTAGTATTCTATCCCCATCTACACTGCCAGCACATTCATAATTTTAAAGTCTTAATAAGAACATTAAAAAAAGGAGCACAATTAAGCCATTCAGCCTTTTGTGTCTGATCAACCATTCTAAAAGAACCTGGCTGTACTGATTGTGGCCTTCATCCATTTTCTTTCCTATTTGCTCCTGACTGCCTCATTAACCGTCAACTCCCCTGTAATCAATAATCTCTAACTCAGCTCCACTGCTCCCTGGAGAAGAAAATTCCAAACATTAATGATCTTCTGGGAGAATAATTTTTTCAGTGCTAAAGGAAAAACTCCCAACCAGTTTAATTTTCACAATAGCTATAATCTTTCAGTTCTCATGCATTTTTGTAAATCATTGCTTTTACTCCATCTTTCCATGTCTAATCTCAAGTACGGTAAAAGCTGTGCACAGGGTTGTCATTGCCTGGACGGTGCAGTTCCAACAACATTCAAGAAACTTAACACCATCCTGAATAAAGCCCATTACCTTCAACATTCAGTCCAGTTACCACCAAAGCTCAGTAGCACCAGTGTGTAGTGCCTACAGAATGCACTGCAGAAAGTCACCAAGGTTGCTTAGATAGCACCTTCCAAACTCACCACCACTTCCAGCCAGAAGGAGAAGCGCAGCAGAAACGTGGGAACACTACAACTTCAAGTTCCCCTCCAAGCTACTCACCATCCTAGCCTGGAAATATATCAGTGTCGTTAGGCCAAGATCCTAGAATTCCCTTCCTAAGGGCATTGTGGATCTACCTACAACATATGGACTGCTGCTGATCAAGAAGACAGCTCACCATAACCAGCTCAAGGACAACCAGAGACAGACAATAAATGCTCGCCCAGCTAGTGGCATCCATATCCCAAGAATGAATAAAAGTATATTTAACTGTAACATTTCAAAAGGAATTTGGCTAGTTGCGAGAAAAGGAGAACTTTACAGGCTATGAGGAAAGAGCAATGACTAGGACTAATTGGATAGCTCTATCAAAGAACTGGCACTGGCACAATGGACCAAATAGTCTCCCTTTGTGCTGTTGTCGCATTATGCTTCCGTTTTATAAAATCTCTGTGATGGTTAGAGACTCAATCTGATTTCCTTACCTGTTCTGGACTCATGTATGGAAGTGTCCCAATGTCTCTGGTCAGTGGTTCCTGGTCATTCATCATCGTAGCAAGACCAAAGTCACCAATCTTTATGATTTCTCCTTTAAGGAAGATATTTGCTGGCTTTTTTCACCAAGATAAAATTAAAATAGAAATGTTCAGTCCATTTAGTGCATTGTAAAACATTACTTTCCAAAAACAATTAGAAAAATTCAATCAATCATAATGGCTGTGATTTCACTCATCATATCAAAACAGCCCAGCTCTCTGCTTGGGGTTATACCCACCTGATCTGGACTCCTACCACAGGAGACACATTGAACAGAGAGTGAGTATCAACTCTTTTCAGCATTTTAAGCACCTCAATTAGATTTTTGCTTACTCTTCTATCTTTGAGGGAATATGTATCCTGTCCTCAGAATTTAACCTTGTTAGTCCTTCCAACAGTTTGGTAAATGGATCCTTCCTGAGTTTTGCTGAGCAGAATCCAACACAATATTCCATTTATTAACAACCAGGAAACCTTCATGCTTGTAAAGATTACTGCTGACAGGCAATACCTGAAGGCTAGGTATGAGCAGGAGCAAGAGAAGGAAGGGAAAGAGAGGAGGCAGGAAAGAAAATAGGAAAGAAGAGTAAGGAAAAAAAAGACTGTGCATTTCTAAAGCTTTTACAATCTCAGGGTGTCCTAAAGAACGTTACATCCAAAGAAGTTCAGTCACTGCTGTAATGTAAGAAATGTAGCAGCCAATTTGTGCACAGCAAGCTTCCATGAACAGCAATGTGATGATGACCATGCAATCTGTTTTAGTTGGGATGGAGATTGCTTGACGTAATGGAAAAGGGCAACTGAGAAAATGAAACTGACCCTCCCAGTTTTTAAGAAATCAGAACTGTAGTCATGACTTGGAAACCAAAACCTCTGGGGAAACTGAAACTGGTTCAAGCCAAATAAAGGAATACAGAGCCATCCAAGCTAAACAGTAGGTGCAGACATATCCAGTGATGAAGTAAAGACAGTGGAAGAAGACAAAGGCCTTTTTTATGAGGGTATAAGAGTCTGAAAGTGTTAATGTGGAGGTTTGAGGAGCACCACCCAATATGTTGATGTCAAAGGAACTCAGGTGGGAAAACAATATTGGATTTCTAAAGAGTAACAGCAAATATTGATCTTTTCTCATTGTCCCAGTAATGATATTTGCCATACCAACTTAACTTGTATCTAGCTGCTATCACGCAATAAACCACTTCTTGTAAAAACAAAGTCAATTACATATGCAATCTGACCCCACTACTGAAGACATTTTTCCCTCCCCACCCTTATCTGCCTTCCGGAGGGACCACTCTCTCCGTGACTCCCTTGTCCGCTCCACACTCCCCTCCAGCCCCACCACACCTGGCACTTTTCCCTGCAACCGCAGGAAGTGCTACACCTGCCCCTACATCTCCCCCCTCACCCCCATCCCAGGCCCTAAGAAGACCTTCCACATCAAAAAGATGTTCACCTGCACATCTGCTAATGTGGTACACTGCATCCGCTGTTCCCGTTGTGGCCTCCTCTACATCGGGGAAACCAAGCGGAGGCTCGGGGACCGCTTTGCAGAACACCTACGCTCGGTTCGCAACAAACAACTGCACCTCCCAGTCGCAAACCATTTCAACTCTCCCTCCCATTCCTCAGACGACATGTCCATCCTGGGCCTCCTGCATTGCCACAATGATGCCACCCGAAAGCTGCAGGAACAGCATCTCATATTTCGCTTGGGAACACCGCAGCCCAAGGGTATCAATGTGGACTTCACAAGCTTCAAAATCTCCCCTCCCCTACCACATCCCAAAACCAGTCCAGCTCGTCCCCGCCTCCCTAACCATTCCTCCCACCTCAAGGCCCGCCCCCATCTCCTACCCACTAATCTCATCCCACCTCCTTGACCTGTCCGTCCTCCCTGGACCAACCTATCCCCTCCCTAACTCCCCACCTACATTCACCTTTACTGGCTCCATCCCCGCCTCTCTGACCTGTCTGTCTCCTCTCCACTTATCTTCTCCTTTATCCATCTTCTATCCGCCTCCCCCTCTCTCCCTATTTTTTGCAGAATCCCCTTCCCCATTTTTGAAGAAGGGTCTCGAACCGAAACGTTAGCTTTCCTGCTCCTCTGATGCTGCTTGGCCTGCTGTGTTCATTCAGCTCTACACCTTGTTATCTCAGATTCTCCAGCATCAGCAGTTCCTACTATCTCAATTACACAGGCATGAGGATGGATCTGACCCCAGTGGATTGGGTCGGAAGACTAGAAGGTAAGACAGTTGATGACTAGTGGCAGATGTTTAAGGAGATACACAATTACTCCCAACTAAAATATATTACAGAAAGAAAGAAGGAGTGTAAGAAGTGGAAAAAAATGGCTAAGCAAGGGTGTTAATGATAACATAATGACAAAAACGAAGGCATACCATATTGCAAAGGCCAGTGGTGGGCTGAAAGATTGGCAAACTTTTAAAGATCCACAAAGGATTAATAAAAAATTGTCAAAAAAGGAGCAAAGGTAAACTATGAAAGAAAAATAGTGCAAAATATAAAAATGGACAAAAGGTTCCATTAGTAAATAAAAGGGAAAAGAGTAGTTGAAATGAATGTTGGTTTCTTGGAGGATGAGACTGGGAAGTTAATAATGCAATAACTAGTACCATCCTAAAAGTAAGAGGTAATGCAGAGGTTATGGAAAGGGAGGAACTTAGAACAATCACAGTCACCAGGGAAATGCACTGAGCAAACTACTGGGATTGCAGATAAACAGGTCTCCAGGGCCCAACAGCTTACATCCTAGGGTCTAAAAGGAAATGGAAGCACAGATAGTGGATCCATTGGTTATAATATTCCAAAATTCTCTGGATGTGGTAAAGCTAATATAATAACTTTATTTTTTTAAAAAGGGAGGAGTACAGAAAGTAGGAAATTGTAGATCAGTTAGTTTAACGAGTCATTGGGAAACTGTTAGAATCCATTATTAGGGAAGTAATAACGGGACATTTGGAAAGTCAAAATAAAACCAGATTGATTTTGATGGATTGAATGAGGGGTAAATCACATTTGACTCTAATGCAAAAGTTTTTTGAAGGTGTAACAAGCAATGTGATAATGGGGACCCTGCAGATGGGGTATATATGGACTTCCAGAAGGCATTTGATAAGGTGCAACACAAACGTTTAATACACCACCTAAAATTACATGGTCTTAGGGGTAATTTATTAGCTTGGACTGAGGATTGGCTAACCAACAGAAGACAGAGAATCAGAATAAATGGGTCTTTTTCTGTTTGGCAGGATGTAACAAGTGGGGAGCCACAGGTTTCAGTCTTTGGGCCCCAACTATTTACAATCTATATTAATGACTTGGAGGCGGGATAAAAAGTACTTCAGCCAAATTTGCAGATAAAAGAGAGATGACGTCCTGCAAAGGGAGTTCAGAGAGTTAGGTAGGAAGCTGACAAGCAGGATCTCTAGCGCTGTAATCTCCAGAACTAGTGTAGGAGGGAAGGCTTCAGGTATGTGCATCATTGGGATGTACTCTGGGACAGCTGGGACCTGTACAAAAAGGACAGGTTGCACCTAAACTGGAGGGACACCAATATCCTGGCGGGGAGGCTTGCTAGTGCCACTCGGGAAGGTTTAAACTAGGTTGGAAGTGGGTCAGGATTCAGAACAATAGGTCAGCAAGTAAAATGACTGAGCAGAGTCAGAAACTAATGCCATTAAGACTGAGAGGAAGAATAAACTGGGGGAGGTTACTTAACATGGCAGGACTAGTGGTCTGAAATATATTTGCTTTAATGCGAAGAGTATGACAGGCAAGGCAGATGAACTTAGAGGTAGACAAACAGGAGGCAGGAAGAACACAGCAGGCCAGGCAGCATTTGGAGGAAAGGAGCAGTCAACATTTCAGGTATAACCCTTCTCCAGTACTGAAGAAGAATAATAGCCAAGACGTTGACTGCTCCTTTCCTCCAGATGCTGCCTGGATTGCTGTGTTCTTCCAGCCTCCTGTTTGTCTACTTTGGATTCCAGCATCTGCAGTTTTTCTGTCTCTAACCAAGATGAACTTAGAGCTTGGATTAATGCATATGACGGTAATGTTGTAGCTATTACAGGGACTTCGTTGAGAGGGGACAAGACTGGCAGCTTAATGTTCCAGGATTTAGATTTTCAGGCAAGATAGAGAGGGATGTAAAACAGGTGGGAAAGTTACGTTACTGATTAGGGAGAATATCATTGCTGTACTGAGGGAGGACAGCTTGGAGGGTTCAGTGAGGCTGTATGGATAAAGCTCTGGTAAAGGAAGGGCATAGTCATTTTGATGGTATTGTACTACTACGGGCCTCCCAAATCCTGTGGCTGATAGAGGAATAGGTATGTGGGCAGATCGTGGAAAAGTATAAAAACAACAGGGCTGTTGTGTTGAATAATTTTAACTTCCCCTTTATTGACTGGGAGTCGCAAAGGTAGTGGGGGGGGAGGGAGATTTGTTAGGGCTGTTTTTTGAAACAATATATAAATAGTCCAACAAGGGAAGGGGACATACTAGATCGGCTATTGGGGAATGAGTCCAGCCAGGTGATCAAAGTTTCAGTGGAGAATGTTGGGAACAGTGACCATAATTCTGTCAGTTTTAAAGTTATTTGTGGATAAGGATATGAGTGGTCCTCAGGTGAAAGTATTAAATTGGGGGAAGGCTAACTACCACAATATTAGATAAAAACTTGGGAATGCAGATTGGGGAGGCTTTTTGAGGGTAAATCCACATCTGGCATGTGGGAATCTTTTAAAGGCTAGCTGATTAGTGTTCAGGACCAGCATGTTCCTGTGAGAATGAAGGATAAGGTTGGCAAGATATTGAGAGCTTAGTCAAAAAGGAAAAGGAGGCATATGTAAGGTTTAGGAAACTAAAGAAAGACAGTCCTTGACGAATACAAAGATAACAGGGAAGAATTCAAACAAGGAATTAGGAGGGCTAAAAGGGGGAATGAAATGTCTTTGGCAGACAGGAAATAAGGAAAATCCCTATGGAACAAGAGGGTAGCTAGGGAAAGGGTAGATCCACACAAGGATAAAGGAAGGAATTTAAGTGCGAAACCAGTGGAAATGGGTGAGGTCCTGAATGAAAACTTTGCATCAGTATTCACAAAGGAGAAGGACATAGTAGATGGTGAAGCTCAGGATTGGTATGTTGATATTCTAAGGTGTGTCAATGTAAAAAAAGAGATGTTGGGTGTTTTGAAAAGCATTAAGTTAGACAAGTCCTCAGGACTTAATGGGATCTATCCTAAAGTGTGAGGGAGGCAGGTGAGCAAATTGCTGGGATCTTGTATGAAATCTTTGTATCCTCTCTAGTCACAGGAGTGGCCCCTGAAGACTAGAGAATAGTTAATGTTGTTCCTTTAATTTAAGAAATGCAACAGGGATAATCCAGGAAATTACAGTCCAGTGAGACTTGTGTCAGTGGTAGGGAAATTATTGGAGAAGATTCTCAGGGAATAGGATTTACTCACATTTGGAAAAATATGGACTTATTAACGATAGGCAGCATGGTTTTGTTCAGGGAAGGTTGTGTCTCACAAACTTTAAGTTTTTTGAGAAGATAACAAAGATGATCGATGAGGACAGAGTGGTAGATGTTGTCTGTATGGACTTTAGCACAGCCTTTGACAAAGTATCTAATGGCAGGCTGCTACAAAGGGTGAAGTCACATGGGATCCGGGTGAGTTGGTAAAATGGATACAGAACTGATTTAGTCATAGGAGACAGAGAGTAGTGGTGGAAGGGTATTTTTCTCAGTGGAGATCTGTGATCAATGGTGTTCCGCAGGAATCAGTGCTAGGACCTCTGTGGTTTGTATTATATTTAAATGATTGGAATGTGGTGGCCTGATTAGTAGGTTTGTGGACAACACAAAGATTGAGGAGCTGCAGATCGTGAGGAGGATTGCCAGAAGATACAGCAGGATACAGATAGGCAAGAAACTTGGGTGGAAAAAAGACAGATGGAGTTTGATCCAGACAGATGTGGGGTGATGCATTTTGGGAGACCTAATGCAGGAGGGAAGTATACAGCAAATGACAGAAGCCTTTATAACATCAACATACAGAGAGATCTAAGTATACTGGTCCACTGCAACTTCGCTGAAAGTGGCAACACAAGTGGATAAGATGATTAAAGGGACATATCGCATGCCTTCATTAGTCAGGGCATAGAGTATAAAACTTGGTAAGTCATAGTGCAGCTACATAGAACTTTAGTTGGGCCACATCTGGAATATTGTGTACAGTTCTGGTTGCCACTCTGCCAGAAGGATGTGGAGGCTTTGGAGAGGGTAAAGAAAAGATTTACCAGGAGGTTGCCTGATTTGGATGGTATTAGCTATGAGGACAGACTGGACAAACTTGGCTTGTTTTCACTTGAATATCAAAGGATGAGGGGGCGACTTGAAAGAAGTTACAAAATTATGACAGGCATGGATAGAATGGATAGTCAGACTCTTTTTCCAAGGGTAGAAATGTCAATTACTCGGGGGCATAAGTTTAAGGCAAAAGGCGGTAAGTTTAAAGGAGATGGGAGAGACAGTTTCTTCACACAGAGTGTGGTTAGTGCCTGGAATGTGCTGTCAGAGGAGGCAGATACAACAGCAATGTTTAAGAGGCATCTCGACAGACATATGAATAGGCAGGGAATAGAGGGATACAGACAGTGTAGACCCAAAAGGTTTTTAGTTTAGAAAGGCATCATGTGTCGCCGAAATCTTGGTGGGCTGAAAGGCTTGTTCCTGTGCTGCACCATTCTTGTTCTAACCTTCATGTCCCGATGAATCATGTTATTCTGATGAATGTAAATAACTCCATCCAATAGTTGATGAATAATGGACATTATAACTCCATTCTGAGTGGATTCATTATTTTGAGGTTCTTGCATCCATTCTTTCAAGTTCTTCTCATACAACTCCATTTGAATAAAGAGAGATTCCTTGAGCCAGCGGTATTTTTGGAAGCTTAATTTAAAATATAAAAGTACAATTTATTGAAAAATAATTTTTAAAATATGAACAATAAAATTGTTTTCTCACATTCCAAAGCCAGTGAATTTCTTGATTTGAACTACAGTTCAAACAACATTTTCTATTTATATAGTAATGTAGTAGAACATAGGAGCAACTATCAAAGAGCATCTGACATCAAGCCACAAAAGGCAGTTATCATAAACAAAACAGGTAGGTTTTAAAGTCACCTTATAGGAGCAGACAGACAGGCAGAGACCAAGAGGTTTAGGAAGAGAATTCCAGAGTTTAAAGCAACCAACAGCATGGCCAGCAATGGAGAGGTGCAGGAAGTGTGGATGGACAAGGAGCTTTGAAGGAAAATATCTGTATCATAGATAAATAGCAACACCTGTTTATGTTTAGACTGTAGAGTAAAACAAGAACTGCGGATGAAACAAAAACAGAAACTGCTGGTGAAACATAGCAGGTCTGGCCGCATCTATAGGGATTAAACAGAGATAACATTTCAAGTCCAGTGACTCGAGTATTGCCAATGTTTTGAAAAAGGTGTCACTGGTCCCAAAACATTATCTGTCTTCTCCCTGTGGATACTGTCAGACCTGCAGTGTTTTATCAGCAATTTTTATCTTTAGAATGTGATGACTTTCCTGGCAGGCAGAAAACACTGAGGGGAAGGGACGTTTGGAGGGTAATTTTGTGCAGGAAATGGGTGAAATTTCTTTTGATCAGCTATTGCAACTTTGGTGGCAGTGCTACAGAAACTCCAACATTATATCAGCATTCACTTTTCAACCATTCTTCCTGCAAAATGGATTGGCGAGGGGATGGGGATGAAAGTTATATTTATTTTTCAGGGAAGCCTGAAGTTTTTCTCAAGAAATACTTTTATTTTGTGGAGTTACTTTTTGGTTTTCAGGAGCTTCTTTTCCATTTGTGCCAAGTCATTTGTTAAGTGATGCAGTCATATGGTAATCAAACCTTCTGTGTTTGTGCTGACATAGGGACTATTTAGTCTCTTCCTACCCTCATCCTACCCTGTGGCAGCCTTCTGTACCCCTTCCCCAGACAAGCAAATGGCCTTGGATTTTTCAAATGCCCCTGGGTATTAGCTACACTGAGTCCAGGGGAGAATTACTACCTGTGAAGATAGATGCCTGCAGGAAGTGCAGATACAGAAACCGTTAAACACGAGCAGGGAGTGAGAAATTTGATTAGGTTGTAAAAAAAGCCAAGAAAGAGAATCTGAAAGCAAAGTGATAGTGCTAAACTTAACAACAGTGGGAAAGAAAGACTAGATCAAGAGAGAGAAAGACAGAAATACTGCAAAAACGGTTTAAAAAATTAAATTTGCCAATTTGAAAACTTTGACCCACGTTTGGCAGGAATGGGGATTCTCACTTTAAGTTGTTCCCTCTGACACTGTGGCACTCGCTCAATACTGACTCTCCGACAATGAGGCACTCCCTTGGTACTGGACACCAAAATTGAAGGTGCAGTGGACAGCAAAGAAAGTTACCTCAGTGTACAACGGCATCTTGATCAGATGGGCCAATGGGCCGAAGAGTGGTAGATGGAGTTTAATTTAGGGAAATGTGAGGCATTGCATTTTGGAAAAGCAAATCAGGGCAGGACTTATACACTTAATGGTAAGGTCCTGGGGAGTGTTGCTGATCAAAGAGACCTCAGAGTGCAGGTTCATAGTTCCTTGAAAGTGGAGTCCTGGGAGACAGGGTAGTGAAGAAGGCATTTTGATCTGCTTGCCTTTATTGGTAAATGCATTGGGTATGGGGGTTGGAGGTCATGTTGTGGCTGTACAGAACATTGGTTTGGCCACTTTTGGAATACTGTGTGTAATTCTGGTCTCCCTGCTACAGGAAAGATGTTGTGAAACTTGACAGGGTTCAGAAAAGATTTACAAGGATGTTGCCAGGGTTGGAGGGGTTGAGCTAAAGGGAGAGGCTGAAAAGGCTGTAGCTTCTTTCCCTGGAATGTCAGAGGCTGAGGGGTGACCTTATAGAGGTTTATAAAATCATGAGGGGCATGGATAGGGTAAACAGACAAGGTCTTTTCCCCAGGGTGGGGTGAGTCAAAAACTAAGGGCATAGGTTTAAGATATGAGGGGAAAGATATAAAAAGGATGTAAAGGGCAACTTTTTCACGCAGAGGGTGGTGCGTGTGTGGAATGAGTTGCCAGAGGAAATGATGGAGACTGGTACAATTAGAACACTTAAAGCCACCTGGATGGAAAGGAAGGTTTAGAGGGATATGGGCCAAATGCTGGCAAATGAGACTAGATTAATTTAGGATATCTGGTCAGCACGGATGAGCTGGACCAAAGGGTCTGTTTCCGTGCTGTACACCTCTATGACTTCATGACCCTGTGACAGTGCAGCACTCTCTCAGTACTGACCCTCTGACAGTACAGCATTCCCTCACCGCTGCACTGGACCATGAACTAAAATGTTGTGCTTAGGTCACTGGCGTCTGATTTAAACAATGACTTTCTGACTCACTTCTATGATTGCTACACACATTGCTTCTTGTCAGAAGGTTAGAAAATATTTCTCACAGTACTAGCAGATCTTATCATTATTTTCAGTCACCTTTTCCCAATCCAGGAGTTGTGGTATCGAACTATATTTTTATGTTCTGTCTTTGCCAAGGACTCAGCTTCACGTTTTGTTTTCCTAATTTGATTAAAAGGAAATTAACATGTAAGAATCATAAAATCATGAGGAAGAAGGCCATTCAGCTCATCAGGTTGATGTCAGATCTCACGTGAACCACCTGGTTTGAGCCCATTCACTATTCTATAAATGGCTATTGGATTCTCTTTGAGAAGAAATAATACACTGTGCTTCTATGTTGGTGTGGCAGAGTATTCCCCATCCTAACTGCATCTACATAAAGACATCTTTCTCAGACCTCTGAGTTCTGTTTTTTGTTGATCCTTAACATGAGATTCTCACTGCTCTCTCACTCAGCAGTGGTAACAATTCCTCATCACTGTACCCATCATCTTAGCAAAGATCTGAGTCAGATTCCAAACTTTCCTTTCGATTCTGAACAATCAGTTCAACTTTTCTTCATCATTGTAATGTTACTGGACATTACTGATACAATTTGAAACTAGCACAAGTAACTATACAGTCAGTGGTTCAAACCTCTGTGTGACAGATCATAATCCATCTGTAGAATGTTAATTCTCCTTTTCAAAGAGAGCAAACTAACCTTGCTTAACCACACACCCCACCACCCTACCCTGGCCAATTCTGACAATATCTTGGTGAGCCTCTTGGAATTGTACAGCACAGGAGGCTACGCAGCCCACTGTGCCTGTGTCAGCTCCTAGAAAGAATTATCCAATTAGCCCCACTGATCCTTCCTATTGGCCCAGCAAATCTTTATCTAATTTCTTCTTGAAACTGGCAAATTGCCTTCCAACAATGTTTCAAGCAGAGAATTCGAAATCTTAACAGCTCTTGACATAAAAAAATTCTCCCCGAGTACCCTCTGGTTCTTGAGTCAATTACCTTAAATCTGTGACCTCAGGTTGCTCATTCTCCTCCTACCAGAGGGAGCAGTTTTTCCTTATTCACTTTATCAAAAGGCTCAATTACATTTCCCAATAAGCTTTTGTGCTGCATGGAGAACAATCCCAGCTTCTCTGGTCTCTCCACATCACTAAAATCCAGTGATCTCCAAATCTTTTCCTGTTGTTTTTACTTCATCCCTATAATGGGCTGCCCCAAACCTCACAAAACATTGTCACTGTCCATAATTAACAATAGAAAGGAGGAGAGGGAACAGATTCACACAGGACACAAGTGAGACAGATAGTGGCAAACACAGACTGAGAGGCTCTGGATTAATGGTGTCTTGGTAACTAACGGGCTAGGAATGCAGGATATCACAGATCACAGAATCCCTACAGTGTGGAAACAGGCCATTCAGCCCAACAAGTCCACACTGCTGCTCTGAAGAGCATCCCACCCAGACCCATTCCCCTACCCTTGCATTTTCCCATGATTAACCCAAACATCCCTGGACACTATGGGTAATTTAGTATGGCCAATCCACCTAACCTGAACATCTTTGGACTGTGGGGGGAATCTGGAAGACCCGGAGGAAACCCATGCAGACACAGGGTAAATATGCAAACTCCACACAGACAGTCACCCGAGGGTGGAATTGAACCCTAGTCCCTGGTGCTGTGAGGCAGCAGTGCTAACCACTGTGCCACCTAAATTTTTGACAACAGATAGCAGTAGCTTCTGGGCTGGGAGAAGATTTACACACTTTCTTTTTCTCCTTTCCCACTGTGTCTCTGTGACTTGTTTTCACTTCAAGTTGCTCGCAAGCAAAAGGTTTCAGTCATCAACAACTTATTAGTCCACGGACCAATCAATGACTTATTTCCAACTAGAACATAGAAGATAGAATAGTACAGCACAATACAGGCCCTTCAGCCCATGATGTTGTGCCGACCTATTATCCTACTAAGATCAATCTACCCTGCATACCCTACATTATACTATCATTCATGTGCCTATCCAAGAGTCACTTAAAAGTCTCTAAAGTATCTGACTCCACTACCACTGCTGGCCGCGCATTCCACATGCCCACCACTCTCTGTGTGAAGAACCTACCTGTGACATCTCCCCTATATCTTCCTCCAATCACCTCAAAATTATGCCTCCTTGTGATAGCCATTTCTGCCCTGGGAAAAAGTCTCTGACTATCCACTCTATCTGTGCCTCTCATCATCTTGTACACCTCTATCAAGTCACCTCTTATCCTTCTTCGCTCCAATGAAAAAAGCCCTAACTCCCTCAACCTTTCCTCATAAGACTTGCCCTCCAGTCCAGGCAGCATCCTGGTAAATCTCCTCTGCATCCTCTCTAAAGCTTCCACATCCTTCCTGTAATGAGGTGACCAGAACTGAACACAATATTCCAAGTGTGGTCTAACCAGAGTTTTACAGAGCTGCAGCATAACCTCGCGGCTCTTAAACTCAATTCCCCTGCCAATGAAAGCCAACACACCATACGCCTTCTCTACAACCCTATCAACTTGGGTAGCAACTTTGAGGGATCTGTGGACGTGGACCCTAAGATCCCTTTGTTCCTACACACAGCTGAGAATCCTGCCATTAACCCTGTATTCTGCATTCAAATTCGACCTTCCAAAATGAATCACTTCACACTTTTCTGGGTTGAATTCCATCTGCCACTTCTTTGCCCAGCTCTGCATCCTGTCAACACCCTGTTGCAACCTACGACAGCCCTCCACCGTCCACAACTCCACCAACCTTCGTGTCATCAGCAAACTTACTAACCCACCCTTCCACTTCCTCATCCAAGTCATTTATAAAGATCACAAAGAGCAGAGGCCCCAGGACAGTTTGGAGACTGGGGGACTAAGGTTAAACTGGAGGACTGAAGGTCTACAGGTGGAAGGTGTCTTGGAAACTAAAGGTAGGCGGGTGAAGGGTATGTGGAGACTGAGGGGCTAATGGGTGTAGGGTGCCTCGTGGACTCGGAGTCTATGGGTAAGGAGCACCTTGGGGACTGAAGGCCTGTGGCTGAGAGTGTCTTGTTGTTTACATTCCACTTCTTTTTATAATCACAAAGAAAGGATGAAGATTAAGAATAGACTCACTCATTCTTCATTAAGACTTCCTTGATGGCATAGTACCGTCCATCAACATTGTTCTTAGCTTTGTAAACATGGCCAAAACCACCACTTCCGATTTCTTCAAACTCTGAAAAGCCATCAATTCTAGGAATGTTCAGTATACCACAGCAATTAACAAGAAACATACAAACATCCACAAACTTTCTCAACGCATGTGTTTCCCCTGTTTTACAACGAGAATTAATATTTATATGATTTATATTTATATGATACCCTTTAAGGTGCTAAACGATACCAGTGAGCTTCACAGAAACATTTAAAAAATCACATGCTTACGTTTCAGCGAGAGGCCACTTTGTTAAAATCAAAACAGGACATAACCTATCAAGAGAGGTTTCAGTCTAGGATCTGACTCATCCACTAATAACATCAGCTGTGATCAGCATCAACAGGGACCTAGCAGCTGAAGTCACAGTCACCAGGGATTCAAATAAGACATGTGGAAGAGGAAAGATTACAGGAGTGCAGAGATTCTACAGGGTTATGGGGGCTGGAGGAGATTGAAGAGATAAGGAGGACCAAGATAATGAATGGATTGGGAGACATGGTTGAGGATTTTAATATCAAGTCTTCGCTAAACCTGGAGCCAGTGTCGTTCAATGAGTACAGGTATGATCAGTATTTAGTGTGAGCTGAGACTCATACAGCACAATGTTGGAATGAGCTCTAGTTTGTGGAGAGTGGAAGATGGGAGGCATCTACCAGAGTATTTGAGTTAGAAAGGATGACAGTGACCTACAGAAGCCATTTCAAAAGTGGATGTTGAATTATTAACATGGCACCACTGGGTTGGAGGTACAGTCGGTCTTTCATTGTTAAGTTTAACATACAGAGAATTGAAGGAAGGGGAACTAATAGAGATTTGCCTCCCAAATCAAACCCTTCTGAGAGCACTGTATTTGCATTTAAATATTGAAGAAAAAACACACAGGCCTACTGTTTGAGTATGGGCCTAAAACTCCCATCATACACTGCTGAGAGGAAGAGTTGTGGGTAATTTACCTCACTACCTCCACAAGATACAAACACATTCTATCCTATCAGGTAGAATAGCACAGTGATTACGTCAAACTTGAGTGTAGGCTCCACTGAGGCACTTTGGGAATTTGAATAGTTTAAAAATAAAATCCAACAATAAAAATTGCTCTCAATAACAGTGACTGTGAAGCTGTTGTGATTGTCGTGAAAAGTTCAATATCGAAGGGGGAAAGAATAATCACTCTCTTTGGCCTGGTCTAAATGTACATCCAATCCTGTATAGAGCAATCCCATCAGGCAGATCAGTTCAAAAACCTGGCTTTGGGACATTTTACAACCACCCAAGGAGGCAAAACAGGGCCTGAGCTTAGCCTTTCACCTGAAAGACGGCACCTCTGACAATGCAGTGCATTCAAGTGTACTGAAGTGCGGCTTCAACCTTCTGAGCTGCCGGTGAGAGCAGCGTACACTGTTTGCCCCCTGTTATGGTGTTCCAACAATGCCCAATGTCACCCAGGGGAGTGACACTTTCAGGGTATTCCGCATTGACCTGAACAAAGTGGCCTTCATGCATTGCAGGGAGTATTGCCCAATCACTGCATTTTAATGTTTGAACTGTCTCTTACTTCACTTCCAGGTCTTGATCTTGTCCATTGTTATTGTTCTTCTGTAAGTTCAAAGGTGAAGAGGTCATTAGCTTTCTGCTTGGTTTGGACATAAGGCAGACTATTCCTAGGAATACATGAGGAACTGAGGGTCATAGCTTTCACAATGATTGAGAGTGTACGCCTGAATTCTTGCTGGAGGTTCCCAAGATCTGAAACTTGTTGCAGGAACGCTCAGAATCGAGATTTAATCTGGGGTAAACTAAGGGCAAGGAAAACAGTTTGAGGGGAAATGTTTGAAAAATATGGAATATTGTAATGGTTTGGAGAAATCACATTGCTTCCATTCTCTGCAGGTGGCAATAAGGCCTTTAAGTGCTCAAAGATTCACCACAGGGCTTGGTGATACACTTGGCTCCAGCTTCTCTCTGCTAGTGTCCACCTCAGTTCAGTTCAATGGTCACGCTCGTGCTCCAGGCAGACAGCACATTGACTTAATGTCTCATCCAGAAAACTGCGCCTCCCACCATTGCAATACGCTTCACTCTGAACTCAGTAGCCCAAGTTCCTGGAGTGGGACTTGAACTCATGACCTTCTGAATCAGTAATAGGAGGGCCCAAAAAAGTACTTTGCCCCCAAGGCATTTTGTGCAGCACACTCACAGATACACTTTAGGTAAGCTCAGCAGCTATTTGTGTGCTGTATCCTCTCACACACAGATTACAAGGTGAGTGATCAGACAATCTTTTTCTGCTGTTGGTGGACAGAGAGAAATTTTGATCAGAACATTGGGAAACTTGATTTCCCATCACATCAACCTGAGGAGGCAGAGAAGGCTTTGGTTTAATGTAGCAGAGACAGTTGTGGGGATGGCCCATATAGAATTAGAACAAGGAATGTTCCAGGTACCCCACAAAGGGACTGGCGTAACTGGGGCCCATATAGGCACCCATGGCCACATCTTTATCTAAAGAAAGTGAGAGGAGTTAAAGGAGAAGCTGTTCCAAATGAGGATGAGCTCGGCCAAGCAGAGGAAAGTGGTGGTGGATGGGAATGGTTCGGGCCTTTTTTTTCCAGGAAGAAGCAGAGATTTCTGTGACCAACCTGATGGGGGATGGAGGTGTTAAGGGATTGCATATCCATAGTGAAGAGAAAGTGGCTGCTGCCTACAAACTGGAAATTCTGAAACTGCTGTAAATCTGACATAAATTATGTCTGAAGAAGGGTACTAGGCTTGAAACTTTAATTCAGCATTGTCTCCACAGATGCTGCCAAACCTGCCCAAGTTTCTCCAACAACTTCCGTTTTGCATTATTTTAATGTCTTATCTGAAAATGGCACCTCCAACAGTGCAGGTGTCTCTCAGCACTGTAATGGAGTGTTCACTTGTATTTTGTGCTTTAGTCTCTGAAGCCATGGTTTAGGAATCACTCAGGTATTCTGATTTGAAGACTTACATGGAATTTAGGAAAAACATTCTCACAAAGAAGGTGCTTAGAATGCAGAATAAATATCATTTGGGATATTAAATCATTGGTCAGACAGTCATTTATATAAAAACCAGGTAAGGATTTTTTAAAAATTCCTTCATGAAATGTGTGAATAGCTGGTAAGGCTAGGATTTGTTCCCATGTTTGATTGCCCTTGACAAGGTGGCCGTGAGCTGCCTTCTTGAACTACTGCGGTTCATTTGGAAAAGGGAAGAAACAGAAGAGGGTACAGGGAAATGCGAATACAGGTACACAGCTCTGTTGAGGAGCCAGAGTAGGCACAATGGACTGAAGGGTCCCCTCTTATGCAGTAATGTCAGTCATCCTATGAAGGAAAACAGCATTTAAACAACAAGTCCTTGAACAATCGATCTTTTGGGAAATGAATAGGGTACCTGAGAAGATGAGGCATCCGTTTTCGTGTCCAAATGAGAAAAGTTTGGTGCTAATGGCCTCACGCTATAAAAAGAAATAATTTTCAATCATTCTGACTTCCCAAATAACCAAACATCCTTCAGCAACACCCAGAAATGATCTCCTAACTCATAAAGGGATGGAATTAAGAAACCTCATTGAATCAAAAAAGATGATATACCAAATTGAAGTGTAATCACTCACCTGTCAAGACGTTAGGTCCCAAAGAATCTTCCAGTGTATGAAATATTTTTGAATGCAGTCATTGTTGTAATGTAGAAAATATAACAGGCAATTTGCTGACAGCAAGCGCGCACAAAATAACAATGGCTTAATAAAAACAGAAAGTGCTGCAGACACTCGGCAGGTCTGGCAGCATCTGTGTAGAGGGATATAGAAGAGTTCTGAAGAAATCATTGGACTTGAAAACTGAAATGGTTTCTCACTCTACAGATGGTGCCAGACCTGCCGAGTTTCTCCAGAACTTTGTCCTTATTAATATATTTTAGATGTTGTTTAAATAATAAATATTCACCGGGAACATCAGGTGCACTTCTTCCAAAAAGTAACTGTGGGGTCCTTTGAGAGGTAGACAGAGATTGGGTTTAACATCTCACCCAAGAAAAGGCATCTCAGACAGTGCAATGCTGTTGCAGTAACTGTGCTGGGGGAAAGCAAGCCAGATAACTTACTCATATCTCTGGGAGTGAGGCTTGAAAATGAGATGTCCTGACTTACAGACAAGAGGCTTGCCTGCTGAGGCACAGCTGCCACCATTAGCTATTGTATAAACGCCTACAGAATACACCAAAATCACAAGCAAAATGTACACTATGCTAATGAACAGTCATACCGTTTTGATCTGGATCCAGTAGTAGTATCCTAGAAAGAAAGAATTAGAATTAATTCTGAATACAGGAGCATATGAAAAACCAGACCGAAGTGACAACTGATAACAAACAGTCAAAGTTTGTTTTACACAGTCATAAATGGCACAGAAGGAGGTCATTCAGCCCCTCAAATTCATGTCAGCCCTCTGTAGAGTAATCCAGTTGCCCCCATTCCCTCTGTCTATCCACTTAGCACTACAGGTTCATTTTCTTCAAGTGCCCATACGATTTATGTTTGAAATCGTTCATTGTCCATTTGGACATGGACTGCTTCAATATCTGAGGAGCTGTGAATGGTGCTATAAATTGTGCAGTCATCAGCAAAAGCACCCACTTCTGACCTTATGATGGAGGGAAGGTCATTGATGAAGAAGATAGTTGGGCCTAGGACACGACCCTGAGGAGTTCCAGGTAAATGTAAAGTGCATCTAGCTTGCATTGCCACAATCCAGGACTGCGTTGTTTAAATTACCAAGCATACTTTATATCAATGGCATAAACAGGAAAACAAACCAGATGGTCAATATGGGGATGAGAAACTGGGTATGCAGTGGGATTGGTGAAGGGGAAAAACAGGTCCTTATTCCCAGCATGGAGCTGGTCATGCCCATTCTGCAGATGGGCTGGGTGCACTTGAGTTGTCCTGAAGTTGTGCCTTAATTTCAAAAGGAAAAACAGGAATTGCATTTCTATAACACCTTTCACAGCCTCAGGATCTCCCAAAGCATTTCACAGCTAAAGAAGCACTTTTACAATGTAGTCACTAAGGTAAAGCAGGAAATGCAGCAGTCAATCTATGCACAAGATCCTACGAACAACAAGTGATTAGTTAATATATTTAATGATGTTGGTTAAGGAATAAATTATGATTTATCCACCAGGTAAAACTCACTTGCTTCTTCAGTTAATGTTGCCATAGCCCCAGAGGACCAGAACAGCGATCTCTATTAGAAAGAGATGACTGGTGCTGAGTGTAACTTGAGGGTCACCACTCTTCAGGTGAGGCTGAGAAGGCAGGACTTTCAAGGTAACTTCAGCTACTGACATCACCCTGGATCAAAAACCAGCTGTCCAGCCAACTGAGCCAACGATCACTTCCACTTGTGTACTGTGTTTAAGTAGAACTGTGCAATCCACCCAACAGGGCAGACAAAGCCTCAGCTCAATACCCAATCTGACAGGTAAGACTACGAAGCAAAATTAGCAGACTAACACAGGCAAGAGATCTAGAATTTTGTCTGAAAAGTGTACTGTACCACTTTAGGAGAATGAGTTGCTGATTTGGAGTCTTCGAAAAAGATGAAGCTGGAACCATCTGACTGTTCAGAATGCCTCCTAAAAGAATCAGAAATATGTGAGGAACATTCACTGGGTCTGAACTTGGGTTATAATTCATTCCCTACCACTACTTAAATATACTACACAGATCACCGGTGAGAAATATTACTAAAGCTATCTCTGAAAGAATGATCAAACATCTTTCTAAACAATGTGCAGGATGAATTTCATTCAATCAATTAAATCAAATAGAGGTGAGTATAACTTATATTTATAAAGCTGCCTTTGACATAGTAAAATGTCCTGAAAGATTTCAAGGAGCATAATCAGATGACATGTGGCTCTGAGTCACATGAGGAAATGTAGGAGTTCTTTGATGAAAGTACAACAATGGATGCTCAAGTGTAGTTGAAGTGCATTGTGCAAAAGTGCAATCAATGTGTGCAGAAGTGCATTGTCTACACAAATGCGTTGCATCCAATAATAGAGTGTATGCAGATGTGCATTGATCCTCTATATATGCACCTTCAAAGCTATTTGATGAAAGCACTGTGAAGCAAACTTATTTGGAAGTAGGAACCATGTGGTATTAAAGAGTGGTGGTATTGTGGCTACATATTTTGCAAAGGGATAGAGGGCTGTTCCTAACAGTAGAGAAGTTTGCCTAGGTCCCTACTGTTGCTATCAGGAACATTGGTGTGAATAACCTGGCCTTAGGTAAAGATAGTACAATTTTGCAGCTTGCCAATGATTAAAAATCCTTGGCAACATTGCAAATAATAAGCTTGAAGGTAGATGACAGCAGAAGGACACAGAAGTGAGTGGGTAAATATATGGTAGATGCAGTACAGCATGGCTAAATGTGAGTATATTGAGTGCAACAGTGATGTGACACTTCAGTGTGAAAATTGGTATTTTTTAAATGGTGATATACTGGGAGTTGTGGGTGTAAAAAGGGATCTGGAAAGTAGGCAGGTAGATACAGCAAACAAATGGCATATTAGCCTTCATTGCAAGAGAATTTGAGTTTGCAAGTAGGGATGTCTTACAAGCAGTTATACAGAGCTTTGGTGAATTCACACCTGGGGTACTGCATGCAGTTTTGGTCTGCTGACCTCAGAAAGGATATACTTGCTGTAATTTGGAATATAGCAGAGCTTCACCAGATTGAGATAACACAGTGTGGAGCTGGAGGAACACAGCAGGCCAGGCAGCATCAGAGGAGCAAGAAAGCTGCCGTTTCGGGTCAGGACCCTTCTTCAGAAATGGGGGAGGGGAAGGGGGCTCTGAAATAAATAGAGGGGGGGCATCAGGCTGGAGATGGTAGCTGGGATGGTGATAGGTAAGTGCAGGTAGGTAGTGGTGGGGGTTGGTCAGTGAGGTGGGAGGAGCGGATAGGTGGAAGAGAAGATGGACAAGTCAAGGAGGCGGGGATGAGAGGGAGGGTTGGTCACATGTTGAGGCCGGGGGTGGGGAGATTTTGAAGCTAGTAAAGTCCACATTGAGACCATTGGGTTATAGGCTCCCAAGGCGGAATATGAGGTGCTGCTCCTCCAGTTTCCAGGTGGTGTTGTTGTGACACTGGAGGAGCCTAGGGAGTGGGAGGGGGAGTTGAAGTGGTTCGCGACTGGGAGGTGTTGTCGTCTGTCGCGAACCGAGCGCAGGTGCCCTACAAGGTGGTGGGGCCAGTGGGGAGTGTGGAGCGGACGAGGGAGTCACGGAGAGAGCGGTCACTATGGAAGGCAGATAGGGGTGGGGAGGGAAATATATCCTTAGTAGTGGGGTCAGATTGCAGGGGGCAGAAGTGGTGGAGAATGATGCGTTGAATCCGGAGGTTAATGGGGTGATACGTGAGGACAAGGAGGATTCTGTTTTTGTTTTTATTGTGGGCCACTCCACACTCCCCACTAGCCCCACCACCCCCGGCACCTTTCCCTGCAACCGCAGGAAGTGCTACACCTGCCTGTACACCTCCCCCGCTCACCCCCATCCCAGGCCCCAAAAAAACCTTCCACATCAAACAGATGTTCACCTGCACATCCGCAACGCAGCCCACTTGATTGGCATCCCCTCCACCACGTTTCAACATTCATGCTCTCCCATGACTGACACTCAGTGGCAGCAATTTGTAATATCTATAAGATGCACTGCAGCAACTCATTAAAACTCCTCTGGCAGTATCTTCTAATCACACAACCACTACCATCTAGAACGACAAGGATGGCAGACATATGGGGATAGCAGGAACTGCAAATGCTGGAGTCAGAGTCAATACAGTGGTGCAGGTGGAGAAACACAGTAGGAGAGACGACGTTTTGGGCCTAAACCCTTCATCAGGACTGGCCTGTCCTGATGAAGGGTCTAAGCCCAAAAAGTCGACTCTCCTGCTCCTCTAATGCTGCCTTAGCTGCTGTGTTCGTCCAGCTCAGCAGATATATAGGAATGCCACGTGCAAGTTCCCCCTCTAAGACATTTGCCATCCTGACTTGGAATTATATCACCATTCCTTCAGTGTCACTGGGTCAAAATCCCAGAATTCCCTCGCTAACAGCATTTAGGTGCATCTATATCACGCTGTATACAGTTGTTTCAGAAAGTAGCTGACTACTATTCTCTCCAGGTAACTAGGGGCAGGCAATAAATGCCAACCTTTCCTACACTGCCCAAATCCCATGAATGAAGGAAAGAAAGTACAGCGCCATTGAACTCAACGGCTGCCCTCTTGAGACTGCAGGTAGTGTTGAGGAAATCTGACACAAATGTTCAAAATCTTGAAGGGCTTAAATAGCGAAATTGAAAGAAAAGCCTTTCCAATGGCTGAACAGTTGAGAAGCAGAGGCCATGGATTTAAGGTGGTTTGCAAAAGCTCCACAGAAGGAGAAACATTTATTCACAATAAACGGTTGGATTTTCAGATGCGCTGTATTTGTGTAGTAGAGGCAGATTGAATTGTAGCTTTAAAAAGTGAATTCAGAAAAGAAACAAAGCCGGGAGTGTGGGGTCTAACTAGATTTCTTTTTCCAAGAGCCAGTGCAGGCTCAATGGACAGAATGGCCTTGTACTGTCCGTCACTTTCCTCTGATGGTTATGCGAGGATCTGGGCTCAGTGGCTCATCCCAGAGTCAAACCAAAAGTTAATGTCACCAATAGTCTGCATCCATGAAGACAATGACCAGAAAGGGAGATGGAATCATTGGCTAGAAGAGTAGCGTTTGAAGTGGGGGAGTGAAGACATGGCTCTGTCTTCCCAATATTTGGCAACGTTTCCAATCATTCAGTAGCAGATGCTAGACAGTAAGGATAACCAACCAGAGGCAGGGTAACTGGTAATTCTCTGCTGTGCTGGAGAATCAAAAGAAATAACTCATATAAGGGAATTATTCATTACAATACATCACAAAATTAAAAGCAGGACAATTTAAATAAAAAACTTTGTGCTTTCATTAAATTGTACCAAAAGCAGTGACCAAAGCAGAAACCTAAAGGGTTAAGTTACAGAGTCATAGAAATGTACAGCACGGAAACAGACCCTTCGGTCCAACTCGTCCATGCCAACCAGATATCCTAAATAACTGTAGTCCTATTTGCCAGCATTTGGCCTAAATACCTCTAAACCCTTCCTAATCACGTACCCATGCAGATGCCTTATAAATGTTCTAATTGTACCAGCCTCCATCACTTCCTCTAGCAGCTCATTCCATACACATACCACGCTCTGCATAAAAGAGTTGGCCCTTAGGTCCCTTTTAAATCTTTCCCCTCTCACTTTAAACCTATGCCCTCTAATTTTGGACTCACCCACCTTGTCTATTTACCCTATCCATGTCCCTCATGATTTTGTCAACCTCTATAAGATCACCCCTCAGCCTCTGATGCTCCAGAGAAAATAGCACTAGCCTATTCAGCCTCTCCCTATAGCTAAAACCCTCCAACCCTCGTAACATACTTGTAAATCTTTTCTGAGCCCTTTCAAGTTTCACAACATCCTTCCTATATCAGGGAGACCAGAATTGGGTGCAGTATTCCAAAAGTGGCTGAACCAATGTCCTGTACAGTTGCAACACGACCTCCCAACTCCTATACTCAAGCAGTGACCAATAAAGACAAGCATACCAAATGCCTTCTTCCTTATCCTATCTACCTGCGACTCCACCTTCAAGGAACTATGAGCCTGCACTCCAAGGTCTCTTTGTTCAGCAACACTCCCCAGGACCTTATCGTTAAGTGTATAAGTCCTGCTCTGATTTGCCTTTCCAAAATGCAGCACCTCACATTTATCTAAATTAAACTCCATCTGCTACTCCTTGGCCCATTGGCCCATCTGATCAAGATCATGTTGTACTTTGAGGTAGCCTTCTTCACTGTTCACTACACCTTCAATTTTGGTGTCATCTACAAGCTTACTAACCATACCTCCCTATGTTCACATCCAAATCATTTATATAAATGACGAAAAGCAGTGGACCCAGCACTGATCCTTGTGGCACACTCCTGGTCACAGGCCTCCAGTCTGAAAAGCAACCTTCCACCACCACCCTCTGTCCTCTACCTTCAAGTCAGTTCTGTATCCAGATAGCTAGTTCTTCCTGTATTCCGTGTAATCTAACCTTGCTAACCAGTCTACCATGAGGCACCTTGTTGAACACCTTAATGAGGTCCAAATAGATCACGTCAATTGCTCTGCCCTCATCAGTCCTCTTCATTACTTCTTCAAAACTCAATTAGTGAGACACTATTTCCCACGCATAAAGCCATGTTGACTGTCCCTAATCAGCCCTTGCCTTTCCAAATACATGTAAATCCTGTCCCTCAGGATTTCCTCCAACAACATGCCCACCACTGATGTCAGGCTCACCAGTCTATAGTTCCCTGGCTCTTCCTGACCACCTTTCTTAAATAATGGCACCATGTTGGCCAACCTCCAGTCTTCTAGCACCTCACCTTGGCTATCAATGATACAAATATCTCAGCAGTGGGCCCAGCAATCACTTTCCTCACTTCCCATAGAGTTCTAGGGTACACCTGATCAGGTCCCAGGGATTTATCCACCTTCATGCATTTTAAGCCATCAGCACCTCCTTCTCTGTAATATGGACATTTTTCAAAATGTTGCTAGTTATTTCCCCACTTTCAATACGTTCCATATCCTTCTCACGGTAAACACTGATGCTGTTTAGAACAGATTTTGCATGTCTTTCAGAATTCCATTTCCTGCCCGGATTATAGCATAGTTACCTGGGATATCTGTCACAAACTTACTTCAGTGAAAGTTCGTCTTGTGAAATACTGTTTGATTCATCCTGTGCCGATCAGAGCCAAGACCAGTTCAGGAACAGAATTGAGGGAATAAAGAAAACATTAAGTTAGAGTTTGAGGAAACAAACCCAAATTGATGTCATAAATTGAATTACTTTATTCTAAAATTTGCATTCTGAATAAGAACCTTCCCACTGTTAAAAACAAGCTAACAATTGACACTGGGGTATTTATCCAGTTCAGACTGTTTTAGCAAATATACCGTTGGGCGTATTGGGTTTTTCTTTCCAATGCAATCACATAAGCCCTGGAAAGCTGTTTTATCAATTGCATTCTTTTAGTTAATGCTGTGAGTATCCTAGTATCTACTGTCTTTAGCTTACAAGATGAGATTTAACTGTGAGATAATAGCTATAAACATGGCAACATAGATTTCTGAAATTCTCCCTTTTACCACATTACATCAACTTTGTAGCCATTCAGCCCAACAAGTCCACATTAGTTCACCATCTCAACCCTATGCATCTCACTATCAGCACATCCAACTAATCCTTTCTTCTTCATGTTCTCAACCAGCTTGCCCTTAAATGCTTTCGTTTTTTGGGTAGTGAGTTCCCTATTCTCAACACTCTCTCAACACAGAGGGTTCTCTTGAATTTCACTGAATCCTGGAAACCTACAGCGCAAAAGCCATTCACTCATCATGCCTGTGCTAGCTCTTTGAAAGAGTGGTCATGGTTAGGGCCATTTGTATTTAGATCCACCACCATGCAAAATCCTTGTCAAGTACCCATTCAACACTCTTCTAAAATTATTTCACAAATTAATTTCCATCTTTTTTTCAGCCAGACTGTTCTGGATCCCAACAAGTCTCTCTGTGAAAACATTTATCCTCATCTACCTTCTGGATCTTTTACCAATGATTTGGAATCTCTGACCTCAAATTACTGATCCCCTCACCACAGAATAACATAAAAGTCTGGACAGAATGCAATGGCTGTTGTCTACATGGATTTGAAGAAAGTGATTCACAAAGTACCACATAAAAGGTTAACAAAACTAAGGATCATGGAACAAAAGGGTCAGTGCCACCTTGGATGAAAATGGCTTAATGACAGAAAGCAGCCAGTCACAGTGAATGGTTATTTTTCAGACTGGACAATAGAAGACATTGAAGTTCCCAAAGATCAGTGTAGGTGCACTGCTCTTTTTTTTTACAATATAGAAATAACTTGAATATTGGAATACAGAGTAATATTTCAAATGGTGTGGTCCGTGAGGAGACTTGACAGAGAGGTTTCAGGAATGAGGAACTTTAGCTACAAGGTTTGGGTGACTAAGCTGGCATTGTTCTCCTCAGAACAAAAGAGGTTGAAGGACAATTTGATAAAGTAGTACAGGATTTTAAGAAGTTTGCACATGGCAGATGATAAAAAATTGCTCTAATTAGCTGATGGTACAAGGACTAAGAGGCACAAATTTAAAGTTTTGGACAAGAGATGCAGGAGCAGCGTAAGGAAGAGAGTTCTTTTCCACGGCAAGTATGAATGACCTGGAACTCACTATCTGTATGGCGGATAGAAGCTGAGATGATGAACAATTTTAAAAGGAAATTGGATGGACACTTGAAGAAAATAACCTTTTACAGCTAGGGGTTAGAACAGGGCAAGTGAATGAATTGGATTGTTTCATGGCAGTCTGGCATAGACGTGATAGGCCAGATGGATTCCTGCACAGTATATGATTCTATAATGCGGGACATGAACCAACTGTAGACCAAGACCAGATAGGAGTGGCAGATTCCTGCTCCTAGAGGACACGAAGGGAATTGAATGGGGAAGCTGTTACCTGTATCTGGGTGCAATGGTGATGTTGCAAACAGATTATTCCCCATACCACTCAGCCAACGTCTATTCTAATTAATTATGCATCCCGTTGTTGGAAGAAAGAGAATTGAACTCTGAACCTCTATCTTACAAATTCAGTACTTAAAGCAGTAGTCTATTCCATTATGTAGCAAATGGTGCTTATGAAGAGCCAACCTGGTGCAATGGGCAAAATAGCCTCCTATCCACGCTGAAATGTTAGACATATCACAATTTGTCTGCAAGGTGGAGTCTACTCTAACATGAAACAAATGTTTAACAGCGCATACTATGCACACTGTCCTATAGTATACAACACACACCAAGCACATTATAACACACACCGAGCATGCTGTCCCCCATTATAACACACACTCCCACAGAACACTACACACATCGAACACAGCCCTACATTATACAACCCACACCGAGCACATTGTAACACATTCGCACAGAATACTACACACACCAAGCGCATTGTACTACATTATACAACATGCACTGAGCACAGTCCCACAGAATACTAGACAGCTTCAGGAATACCTGCAGTTGATTCAAAGCAAGTTCGGCAGCTTTCTGTTTGCCCTCCTGTTTGTTTTTTCCAGAAGCACTTGGGAAAGATATGTTATTTATTACAAATTTCAGAGTAAATCTGGAAAACAGAATTGCTCAATTAATTAAGAATCTTGCAAAAATTGCTTATCTGAACCTAAGTACAGCTACACTCACATAATCTATCATAGAACAGTGCAGCACAGAGCAGGCCATTCAGCCCATTGAGTGTGTTCCAACTCCTCTGAGAGAGCCCTCCAATTAATCCCACTGTCCCTCTGCTCTTTACCCATAACCCTGTAATTTTTTTTCCCCTTGGAAACATTTATCTAATTCCCTTCATTGAAGTTATTTTTGAAAGGGCTTTCAGCACATTTTTTTAGGCAGTGTATTTCAGATCAAATCATTTTGCTTTGGACGAGAGAGTGGAACTGAAAAGGAGAGAGAGTCACTCAGTTCGTTGGGTCAATCTAGCCTGTGATTAGATTTGTTTAACAAGAAGTCAGTCTTTCCTTTGCTGCTTTGGGCTGCTGTAAATGACAGGCACAATTGCTCACTTACTTTGGAGCGTGAGATGGCCCATGTTTATCCACTTCCACAACGTTGCAGGACCAATTCCGTTTTTGGCAATACTCGTTCAACTGTCCAATGGCATTTTTCGAGCTACAGGACTGCTGCAGTTGATTAAAAAAACAGGTTGTTTAAAAGGTGGAGTTTGTTTCTGTTCCCTCTTTGAAATTGAATAAAGATGAATTGTGTATGTCTCGGCTCAGCAGGCATTTGTGAACATGACATAAAGCAGCATGACTGCGTGGAACAAGGTGACCTTGGAGCTCTGCACAGATCTCCTCACCTCACATCTGGTGCAAAAACACCTGGACAAGTCAACAACAACAACAACTTGCATTTGTATAGCACCAAGAATACCATCAAATGATCCAAGGCACTCCACAGAAGCATTATGAAAGAAGACTAAACACACAGCTAAGTATGTATAAAAGCTGGTGACTATTTGGTTTGGTCAAACAGGGAAGCTTTAGAAAATGTCTGAAAGGAGGAGAGAGATGGAGAAGGTTAGGTGTGGGAATTCTGGCCTGTGGTTTATCCAACTTTTTCACATGGAGTGGGGAGCTTATTTCAATTTTTCTCTCACCTGGGCAGAGGGCTGGTGAGCAAATTTCAGAATGGCAAGGTTTAGCCCAACAGTGAACAAGAATTTTGTAGTGGGGGTAGGGGGGAGCGAAGTAAAAGTTCTAACACAATAAATTGATTATTCAAATGAACAGTTAATAACAATGTCCATTAAAAAGTGCCAACAGATCTAACTAATAAAGCCTTTTCTCTCACATAGTTTTTCTTTTAACCGAAAATTATCTAAAAAGGCCTCAAATCCTGATCAGCAGGGGATCCCCTGATCCTCACTCCCCAACCCCCTAATATCCCAACCCCCACTCCCCCGATATCCCAAACTCCACGCCTGACATCCCAACCCCTGGCACCTCAACACTCAACAACATGACCCTCGCCCCCAACCCTGATATCCCCAACCCCAACCCCATGAAATCCCAACCCTCACTCCTATATCCCCACTCCCAGCCCCCAATATCCCAACCTTCATCCCACACCACGAAATCCTGACCCTCATTCCAACATCCACAGTATCCTGAATCTCCAAAATCTCGGCCCTCACTCCACCAACCCCCCCACCGCCGCCCCCTCCCCCCCCACCCCGATATCCTGACATTGATTCCTGATATCCCAATGCTCATTCCCCACCCCTCCCAGATATCCCAACTCCCTTCCCCTGACATCCCGACCCTCACCCGCACAACGACCTGACCCTCATCCACCCTCCAACATTCCAACCCCCCCTCCCCTGCCAATGGCCTGCCTCCCAGCTCTGTCCTCTGCACAGTCTCACTGAACTTGTCCCTGACCCTGTCCCTGTCCCTGTCCCACTCACCAGACTCACCAGCACTGGCTTCAGAACCTGGGCCCAGTTAAACCAATCATATTACCCTGCACGTTGCTCCTCCAATTAGGGTTGGCCTCCCTTCTGCACTTGCTGCTGATATGCTGAGCAGTCGCAGGAGGGAAACAGCCTCTGATGGAGCCATAATCATAATCAGGATTGGGGCAGAATTGGCAATGCCCCAATAACAAACAGGTTTGTGGGGCTAGCGGGAGGTTACTGTCAGTGGAGGGGGCAGGATCCTGGAGAGATTTGAAAAGCCTGAGTGAAAACCTCAGTCACTCTATGTAAAAAGGGAAGCTGTTAGCGTTATGGGATGCCAGGTTAGTGAGGAAATTCACAGGCAAAAAAGGGATAATAAACAAACACCTCCTATCACAGGATTGTTGTTTACACTGGAAAGGTCTTACTTTTGAAAAGTGCATCCTATCCTCATCTCCTGTCAACATTGAGCTAGCCCAGCTCAGTTTGTCATGTAATGATAATGGATCTCTCATGGAAGGCTGCAGAATTGTAAATTATTATCCTGAAGGAAGTGAGCTGTCCTGGAAACACCTTTGTCATGCTGGAAGTGAAATCTACTACACCTACATCCATACTGACTGTGGATATGGACTCATCATCTCTCTTCTCCGTTTCGCAAGTTTGGTCTTCTGTGAACCTAAAAAGAACAGAACTTGTATTTACATAGCGCTTTTAACCACCTCAAGATGTCCCCTGTTCTTTACAGCCAAGTAAATTTACAATGCTGTGATGTTGAAAATAAAGTGGCAGCCAGTTTGTGAAAGCAGCTTCCCAGAAGCAACGATCCTTAAAGAACTAGATCATAGGTTTATTAATATTAGCTGAGGGATAGATTCTGTCCAGGAGAGCTGACAGAAGTTCCACTGCTTCTCTGAAAAACAGTTGCAGGACTCGCTTATGCCCATGCAAGAGGGCAAACGGAAGCTTGGTTTACCATCTCATCACAAACTTCTGACACAGCAGCACTTCCTCAGTACCGCACCGGAAGTGTTGGCCTGGATTATCTGCACAAATCAATTCCAGATTGAATCTGTCAGTCAAATACTCGGGATTAACATTGACCAATGTACAGGGTAGTCTCTGCTTTTGGGGCAATTGATGGAGGGCAGAGAAGGAGCAAACAAAAAGGCAGATACTTCTTACAGGAGCCATCTGGGTTAACCTGCTACAGCACCTATTGCACCAGCTCACACTGAAATCCTACTCAGTCCACTCAGCTACAGGAGCCTATGCCTGCGTGCACACAAGGGCTTTTGCTTCGCACTCCAGGGACTGTAGCAGGGAGTGGTCTAAAGCAGTGGACAATGAGAGGCTAATCTCAGAATTCCATCCCCACCAGCTACTGCAGAGACAGGGCCTCTGAGGGTCAAGAGAACAAGCCAAGGATGCCAACAGAAACTGCAAGACTTTGGTTTAAGTTTCATTCAGCTCTGCGGGGGAGTAGAACATCTGTTGGGAATTCTCTGTTGCAGCTCCCAGGAACATAGCTGTAGACCACTCAGAGTTCCACTTGTTGTTCTTGCCTGTTCCAGACAAGAGATGAGTGCATCAGATTAAATCAAGCAGCCCAAAGGAGGATATTTCCTCTTATGGGTAGCCAAAGAGGGAGCTATCCTCTTCAAAGATTCACTCAATTAAACTGGTGTGCAGCAGAATGCCCTTCAAGACCTGTTGACAATCCCAGTGCCCAAGGTACCAGAGAAGAGTCCATGCTCTGGGGGTGACACAGAGAGAACAGTCACAACTTTTACATAGTTGCAGTTTCCCTACAGGGCTCCACTACCAGCCCATCCCCTGTGAAACAGCAGGGACACTGCCCACAGGAAACAGGCAACAGGGAATTGGGCAAGCAGTGAATTCAGTATGTCCAGTACCTGAGTCATGACAATAAGCTGGCAACTCATCCCCCAAAATGATGAGTTGGCATGACAACTCAGGATCAAGACGAGTACAGACATACTGAGCATCCGAAGTGGTCAGAATATACAGAGCCCAGTGAGGAACAGAGAAGAGAGAAGGACAGATGGGAGGAGGAGAGCAAAAGGAGGAAGAGAGATAGGGATGAGAGGATGGAAGGGGAGCAAGATTACAAGAGAAACAGGAGGGAAGGACAGTGAGACAGAGAGCAGGGATCAAATTGGAGAGAAGAAGAGAACACGAGGGGAAAAAGAGAAAGGAGGAAAGAGAAGAGAAAGGGAGGAAAAAGGGAAGAAAGAACTAAGGGACAGAATGAAGAGATTGAGGTGGAGAGATAGGGAATATTGGGGGACAAAAATGAGAAGGGACAGGGATATTGTTTGTTGTGACAGAGGTAGAGACAGTGTGTTGGAAACGGAAACAGAACACATTAGTCCTCAAGTTTTGCCAAAAGGTATTAGATATTAAGTTACTGTGAATCAGTTTTTTTAGATACAGCTTCACCGACAAGACAAACATGCAAACAAGGAGCAGGAGTAGGACATTCAGTCCTTCTGCTCCAGCATCCAATAATTTCATGGATTAAGTGACTGTAAACTCAAATCCATGTTCCCACCTACTCTGGTAACTTTTCACCCCCTTGCTTAATCAGAATCTATCCACCTCTTCCTTAAAAATATTCAAGACTCTGCTTCTGCCACCTTTTCAGGAAGAGTTCCAAAGAGTCAAAATCCTCACAGAAAACGTTTTACCTAATCTCTGTTTAAAATGTGTGACTCCTGATAGGGTCATACAGCACGGCACAGTCCCTTAGGCCAAATTCGTCTATGCTGACCAGGTTTCCTAAATTGAACTAGTCCCATTTGCCTGCATTTGGCCATTTCCCTTTAAACCTTTCCTACCCATGTACCTGTCCAAATGTAACTCCTGATTTTTAAATAGTAACCTCTAGTTCTAGATTCTCCTATAAGAGGAAACATCCTTTTCCGGCTTTCACCCTGTCAAGACCACCTCAGGAGTTTGTGTTTCAATCAAGTCACCTCATACTCTTCTAAACTCTTGTGAATACACCCAGCCTATCCAACATTTCCTCATAAGACGAGCCACTCATTCCAGGTATCATTCTGGTGAACCTGGTGCACAAGGACACCCTGTTCCCTCGGTATCTCAAAGCTCTGCAATCTCTCAACATTTAGATAATTTTTTTATCCTTCCTATCAGAATGGAAAATTTCACATTTTCCTACTCTAAATCCATTTGCCACATCTTTGCATTCTCACTTAACCTAACAGTGCCTTTTTGTAATCTCCTTCTCTCCTCTCCACAACTTATTTTCGGACCTATCTTCTGCATACAAATTATTTGTATAAATTGTAAAGAATAGCAGTCCTAGCACCAGCTCCTGTGGCAAACCAATCATGAAAGCCTGCCAGCCTAAAACTGACCCATTTATTCCTACTCTCTGTTTCCTGTTAGCCGGCCAATCTTCTATCCGTTACAATTTTACACCCAGCACATAAGCTTTTATTTTCTGCAATAACTTGTGATGTGGCACCTTATCAAATGCCTTCTGGGCATTGGTTACCTCCTCAATGAACTCCAATAGATTGGTCAAATATGATTTCCCTTTCACAAAATTATGTTGAATCCAGTTGACAATCTGGAACTTATGCCCTGCTATAACTCCTTTGATAATAGTTTATAATATTTTTCCTATCACTTAAAATAACAAACAAGGAAAAGTTACATGTTAAAACAAAACCTAACCATACCTTCTGAGATTCTGGTCAGTGGAGTCTTCTGCAGTGCTCTTGTGTTGTTCTCCATCTTCAACATTGAGTTTTCTAGTATTCTTATTCACAAAGGGAGAAAACAGGAAGAATTTAGCATCCAACTGAGCTGTCTGTCTGTGTCTGTCTGTCTGTGTGCATCTAGGTATAGTGTGTCTGTCTGTCTGTCTGTCTGTGTGTATCTATATATAGTGTGTCTGTGTGTATGTCTGTCTGTCTGTGTGCGTGCCTGCACTTTGTCACTAGTCTGCACCTTGTTAAGATGCACTTTTTATAAAATAATCATTAAGCAAATAATACCATGTAAATACAAAGTTTGTAAATACAAATACAAAGTTACACTGCAATTGTGAGAAATCTAAAAAGAAAACAGTGAACGCTAGAAATTCTCAAGTCTGAGAGCAACCATGAAATGAAAACAGGATTCTGTTGAGTGTTTGTTGACCTGAAAGTTTAACCCTGTTTCTCTCTTCTAAGATGCCTGATCTATGAAGTAATTCCATCATTTCCTAGTTTTAATAATTTCCTTTTTTAATATTCAATTAACATTTATGACATAATGCCTTTTAATTCCCTCTTGATGGTATGGGGGCTAATAAGTACCAAACATGTTTCAGTTTAAATAATACTGCAGGTCAGAGTGGATCCGGAAATAAATCGGAAACACATACTATACAGAAGAACTATTTCTTGCTACGTAGTCAATACTGTAATAGCATTAACCCACTATATCAGTCAGTTGGACTGTATTTTTCTTGTACTTCAATGTCACATTGAATTCTCATCCTCTCAAAACTAGAATGAGAAATCCCAGGTAATGATCTTTAGAAAATTGTGGAAAAACATTACTGGAAAACTGATTCTGTGATCAGTATAACCACTAGGGAAATAAATAGTTTTCTGGCAATACATTTTTCCCTTCCCACTTCCCTTATTAATGGCGGAATACTGAAGTGGTGGAATAGATAGAGAGAGCAAGTAATCTGGTTCCAGCACCAGGCCAATGGTCCCCTGAGTTGATATGGTATAGTGTAGTGTAGTGTATATATGCAGTATAGTGTAGATTTCCTGTCTTATTTCCCATGGTTGTCCTGAATTTCCATCCTGTTTGCTACAGATGCTTGCGTACTTTCACCATATAATTACACTGACCCACTACCTCATAAAGTGATGTAAGTTCGTAAATTTCCTCATAGGCGAGTTTTGCTGCTTCGTGCTTGGCCTCTTGTTTGTTTCGACCATAACCTGACGGATATTCCTTTTTATCCATGATAACGTAGCATGAAAACCTGAAACACAATGCAAGCACTTCACACTATTCCAGTGCAATAAAGTAAAAGAAAGTTCCAAAGTAATTCACACAGCCACCTTAGAGCACAACAATATCATGACAAAGAGAAAGTAGGAAAGGCTTGTGTTAATCTAGTGCCTTTTGTAATCTCAGCACCTCCTAAAGTGTTTTACGACCAACGATTTACTTGTGAAGGATAGTTATTGTTGTAACGTAGGAAACATAGCACCCAATTTACAAACTGCTCCCACAAATATCATGGTAATAATGTCCAAGATCATCTGATTTTGTGATGCTGCTTGTGGGCTAAACATTAGTCAGAACACCCTGCCCTCCTTCAAATTGTGACATAGGTTCTTTCATATCTACCAAAGAGCCTGATAGGGCCTTGGTTTCAAGTCTCATGTGAAAGACAGCAGCTTGACATTGTGCAGTTTCTCAGAACTGAATTGGAGCATCAACCTGGAATAATGTACTTGGTTTTCTGCATTTGGGACTTGAACCAATAAGCAACTAACTCAGAACGTGTAATCACTGAGTTGCAGCTCACACTGTAATTATCCAAAATATCTTAAAGGAACAGGAGGGAAGAGAAGAGATAGGAGGTTTCTTGGGACTGAAAGCCTGAAGGATTGGCCATCAATGGCCAGGGGACGGCAGTAGGTAATGTCAAGCCAGCCGAATAGGAAATTCGTAAGTGAGTAGGAGGTTGGGTTGAAGGAGTTTAGGGAAACAGACAGAACGTTGTCAGATAAGGGTTTAAACTGAAGCATATACATATGTCTGAAATCTGAGGCACAGGGAAATCAGGCACCAACATGAAAGAGGAACATCGTCACAATTAAGTACATAGAATGTAACTGATACTCACAGGGCTTCAATTCAGCTTAAACTGCAGCCTTAATATTAATTTAAGCCTGGTTGTCTGGATGACCTAGCACTAGTCTAGGCTAATCCAGGATGACCCTGCCTGATTAGAGCTACTCGAGATTAATCCTGAATAGTCCTGTCTGGTTAGTGTCAGTCTGGGTTAATTCTGGATGACCCTGCCTGATTAGTGCTAGCCTGCGTTAATCCTGAATGACCATGTCTGTTTAATGCTAATCTAGATTCATCCTGGATGGCACAGCCTGATTAGTACTGGTCTGAATTAATCCTGGATGACACTGCCTGGCTAGTACTGGTCTGAATTAATCCTGGATGACCCTGCCTGGTTAGTGCTGGCCTGGATTAATCCTGGATGACCCTGTTTGATTAGTGCTAGCCTGGGTTAATCCTGGATGACCCTGTCTGATTAGTGTTAGCCTGGGTTAATCCTGGATGACCCTGTCTGATTAGTGCTACCTTGGGTTAATCCTGGATGACCCTGCCTGATTAGTGCTAGCCTGGGTTAATCCTGGATGACCCTGTCTGATTAATGCTAGCCTGGGCTAATGGATGAAACAATTCACAACACAAGATGCTATTGCAGTTTCATTGGTGAGCCGAGGAGTTTGCTTACCAGAACATCCCATTCATTTTACAATTACTTACATTAAAAGGCACTTTTACATAGTAAAACATCCCATTCCAAGGTTTGCATTTGAAGCAAAATTTAAGACTGAGCCAAACTGAAGAAGGTCAAAGAAGCAAGTTTTAAAAAGTGTCTTATAGGGAGTGAAAGGTAGAGAAACGGAGAGGTTTGGAGAGAAACGGAGAGGTTTGGAGAGAAACGTCCAGAACTTAAGACCATGGAAACTGAGACAGTGGAAATATGGAAATCACAATGTGAAAGAGACCAGAACTGGAGAAGAGCAACTATAATAAAATCATACAGTACCGAAGAAGGCCTTTGGTCCATTGAGTCTGTACCACCAAAAATACACTACTACCTACACTAGTCCTACTTTCCCACACTAGGCCCACAGCTTTGAATGTTATGACACTTCACATGCTTATCCAAGTACTGCCTCAATTATCCTCCCAAGCACTAGTGGCATAGAGAGATCTCAGTACACAGGATGACTGGTAAAAGAGAATGTGATAATAATGAACAATTTGTTAGGTTATAAGAACTCTTAATGTGCGTTAAGTGAGGAGACTCTTTCACCAAGAATGGTACACAGTATAGATTATTAACCAGGAAAACCTTGGGAAATTCATGGGGAGGTCTATTAACCAGGAGCAAGGGGAGAGCCACAAACCAAGGATGTGGGGAAATCCATTAACCAAGATCAATGAAGGATCCATTAACTGGTGGTAAAGGGGAGATCCATTAACCAGGAGTCAGAGGGGATCCATTAGCCAGGGGCATAAGGGTTATTTCCATTAACTAGGAGCCAGAGGGGATCCATTAGACAGAGGATGAGGTTATCCATTGACCAGGTACAATGAGGTCCCTTGGTCAAGAATGCAAAGGCGTATAGATTTTTAAAAATTCTTACATGAAATGTGGGCATCACAGGCTAAACAATTGCCCATCCCTAACTGCCCTAATTGTGATGGTGAGCTGCCTTCTTGAAGCCCTGTAGTCTTTGGAGCTAGGTATACCCACAGTGTTGTTAGGTAAGAAGTTAAAGGACTTTGCCCAATGACGGCAAAGAGATAGCTCAGTGTCAGATGGTCCAGTTTCATTCTTTTGATATATTTCACTCATTCATTTGATACAACTTGTTGTATTATTTCAGAAGGCAGTTAAAATCAAACATATTATTGTTGGTCTGGAGTCCCTAAAAGCCCTAAAGGACTTTAGTAAACCAGGCAAGTTTTTATAAAAATCAACAGCGGTTACATGGTCACCATTAAGATAGCCTTTTATTCAAGATCTTACTGAATTCAAATTTCACCATGTGCAATGGTGGGATTTGATCCCATATCCATGGAACATTAACCTGAGTTTCTGGATTACTAGACCAGTGAAATTATCACTACACCTATCCACTCTGAGAAAGAATAGAAACCTGATTTATTTTTTTAAAAAAACTAACTTTTGTACGTGGTCCACGCCTGGGCCCGGTTGTGTAAACCTGTAATCGAGATGTATGCCTTTCTTCTGCCCGTACTCATTGAGCTTGCTGATGTAGTTTCCCGTGCTGGCTGGAGATACCCGAGGACTACTGTGAACAGTCTACATCAAAGACAAATCAGAAGGTACTGGCTTTATTTTAACATGCATACACTAACCCACACTGAAGCTGCTTAAAAAGATTATCAGAGACAACAAGGTGTAGAGCTGGATGAACACAGCAGGCCAAGCAGCATCAGAGGAGCAGGAAAGCTGATGTTTCGGGCCTAGACCCTTCTGCTCTTCTGATGCTGCTTGGCCTGTTGTGTTCATCCAGCTCTACGCCTTGTTATCTCAGATTCTCCAGCATCCACAGTTCCTACTATCTCTGAAAAGATTATCATCTGTGTGCATCAAGTATCAGATATATTCAATGACCCATTGAAGGTGATTTCACTCCTTGTGATCATTCTTGTGGCCAGACAAGTGAGGGCAAATCGGTCACCTATTTTTAATAAAGCCCCCAATTCCCCATGGTTTCTAAACTAACTTCTGAGCATTGCATTAAAAAAAAGCTGTTTCCATATATTTGGGCACAGTGGCTCAGTGGTTAGTACTGTTGCCTCACAGTGCTAGGGTCCTAGGTTTGATTCCACCCTCTGGCAACTGGGTGGAGTTTGCACATTCTCTTTGTGCCTGCATGGGTTTCGTCTTTCTGCATGTGAGTTTTCTCCCACACTGCAAACATGTGCAGGTTAGGTGGATTGGTCATGCTAATTTGTGTCCAGAGATATGTAGGTTAGGTGAATTAGCCAAGGGTAAATGTGGAGTTACATGGTTAAGGTAGGAGGGCTGGGGCTGGGTCTGACTGGGATACTCTTCGGAGGGTCAGAGTGAACTCGATGGGCCAAATGGCCTGCTTTCACACTGTAGGGATTTTATGGACTCTATTAAAGATAAAGAGATCAGATTTTGATAGGAAGTGTTAGCCAAATCAGAATTTTTGAGGTCAGATTGGAGAGTGAATTTTCTTTTATTTATTCATGGGATGTGGGAGTCACTTGCTACACCAGTATTTATTGCCAGTCCCTAGTTGCCTTTGAGAAAGTGGCAGTGAGCTGCCTTTTTGAACTGCTGCAGTCCATGCTTTGCAGACAGACCTACAATGCTCTTCAGGTGAGAATTCCACAATTTTGACCCAGCAACAGTGAAGGAATGGCAGTATATTTCTATGTCAGGATGGTGAGTGGCTTGGAGGAGAATTTGCAGGTAGTGGTGTTCCTATGTATCTGCTGCTCTTGTCCTTCTAGACGGAAGTGGTTGTGGGTTTGGAAGATGCTGCTGAGGATCTTTGGTGAATTTCTGAAGTGCATCTTGTAGATAATACACACTGCTGCTACTGAGCATCAGTGGTGGAGGGAGTGGATGCTTGTGGATGTGATGCCAATTGAATGGGTGGCTTTGTCCTGGATGGTGTCAAGCTTCTTGAATGTTGTTGAAGCTGCACTCATCCAGGCAAGTGGGGAGTATTCCATCACACTCCTGACTTGTGCCTTGTAGATGGTGGACAGGCTTTGGGGAGTCAGGAGGTGAGTTACTCACTGCAGGATTCTTAACCTCTGACCTGCAATTGTTATCACAATATTTAAACGACGAGTTCAATTCAGTTTCTGGTCAATAATCATGCCCAACATGTTGATAGTTGTGGATTCCTTACCAGCAATCAAGGTCATTGATGAAGCAGCTGAAGATGGTTGGAGCTAGGACACTAACATGAGGAACTCCTGCAAAGATGTCCTGGAGCCAAGATGACTGACTTCCTACAACCACAACCATCTCCCTATGTGCCAGGCATGATTCCAAGAAGCGGAGAGTTACAATTATGCCTTTGGAGCAGAGGATCTCTGTGCTCCCAGAACATCTGCTCAAAGTCCACTGCAGCTAAGAGTGTGTGGGCAGTCTCTAGATCTAACTGCATGTACTTGAGCTTTACAGGTAGTTATTGACCAATATCTACCAGATCAGCAGGGGTGAAGGAAGTGCAAGAGTTTGCAAGAATGGAGGGCAGGACAAGGTGGGTGTTCATCCTTTACTAGCTGGGATTAAGTATCTGTGAGGAAAGTGAATGTGCAATCTGGGGGAGGTTGATCGAGATGGAGAGTGGCAAGAATGTTGAGTTGGGCTAGGCAAGGAGAGGAAGACATCACTGATATGAAAAGGAATGGGGGATAGAGTGGGGATCAAGACACAGCCCGAGAATAATCAGATAGAACAATTTGAAACAAACCTGCTCACCTCGTGCATAGACTTCCTGGAGACACAAAGTAGTAACTCGTCTATAATTGGATAACAGTGCTCCCCAATTGAACAAACCTTTTAAATGCATAAAAAATAAACCATAATTGATTTTTTTTTAAAACAAAATGCAACACATACTACTCACCATGTCAATGTTCAGTTTCTCTACAGCAAGTTTGGCAGCATTTTGCTTAGCTTCCTTTTTGGTTTTCCCCTTGGCTTCTGGGAATGTTTCTTCACCAATTACTACACTGAATATGAACCTATATCAAAAGGAACATTGGAATAAGAGCAGCAAAGCACAGTTCTTTTATTCTGCCTGTACCTTTAGTGATAAGTAAGATAGCTGTGAAGATTACTTGAGGAGCCTCGGCATTCAAAGAGATCTGCTTCACTCTGTGTTCCTAGTGCATTGAAACTAAAATACTACATCAGAAAGACTGAATAGGGTGGCGTTCTGTTTTTCAAGAAAAGAGAAGCCTGCAACAGGGTCTTCAAAATTATGAAATGGTTTGACAGGATGAATGAAGACAAGATGTTTCCACTTGTGGGAGAGACTCAAATAAGGCCATAAATATAAGATAATCACTAATAATTTCAGCAGGGAATTCAAAATAAATTTCTTCGTCCAGGAGTAGTGAGAATGTGGAACGTAGGAGTGAAGGAGAATAGTAGAGATGCATTTGAGGGGAACTTGTGAAGGAGACAGAAAGGGAAAGCTGTTGATAGATGAACTGAAGAGGGTGGAGGAGGCTCGTGTGGAACACCAGTACTGGCATACGCCTGTTCAGTTGCAGTCACTGAGAGGAAGCATGCAGATGTAGCAGGCAGCAAAGAAGGCAAATAGTATGGTGCCCTTCATATGGAGAGGATGTAAGTACAAGAGCAGGGAATCTTTGAGGTGGTTACAAGCAGGATAGATAAAAGGGAAGAATGTAATCAATATGGATTTTTAGAAGGCTTTTGATAAGATACCACACATTAGGCTACTTAATAAGGTAGGATATTAGCATGGATAGAGAATTGGCCAACTAATAGACAGACAGTTGGAATAACAGGGGAATTTTCAGGCTGTCAACCTAAAACTATAGTGGAGCGCAACAGGGATCAGTGTTGGGACCACAATTGCTTACAATATATATCAAATGATTTGAATGAGGAAATTGAATATACTATGGCCAAATTTGTGGATGATACAAAAGTAGGTGGGAAGGCAAATGGTGAAGACGACACAATCTGCAGAGAGATTATAGACAAGTTAAGCAAGTGGGAAAAAACTTGGCAGATGGAATATAATGTGGGAAAATTTGAAGTTATGCACTTTGGTAGGAAGAATAGAGAAGCTGAATATTATTTAAATGGAGAAAGACTACAGAAAGCTACAGAATAGGGCGATTTGGGAATCCTCATCCTTGAATCACAAAAAGCTAGCATCAATGTTCAACAGATAATAGGGAAGGCTAAAGATATGGTGACTATTATTGCAAAAGGAATGAAATATAAAAGTAGGCAGGTTTTGCTAAAACTGTACAAGGCACTAGTGCACAACCAGAATACTGTGAACAGTTTTGGGACCCTTATCTAATAAAGATATCCTGTCATTGGAGGCAGTCCGGAGAAGGTTTACTAGGTTGATACTAGGTTTGGAGGGATTTTCATATGAGGATAGTTTGAGTAGATTGGGTCTATACTTGTTGGAATATAGAAGAATAAGAGGTAACCGTATTAAAACATACAAGATTCTTGTGAGACTTGACAGGGTAGATGCGGAAAGGCTGTTTCCACTTGTGGCAGAGTCTAGGACTAAAAGGCATAACCTGAAAATAAGCAATCACACATTTAAGACAGAGATGAGAGGGAATTTCTTCCCTTGAAGGGTAGTGAATCTTTGGAATTCTTTACCACAGAAAGACTGTTAAGTTTGGATCATTGAGTATATTGAAGGCTCAGACAGACAGATTTTTAGTCAGTAAGGGAATCAAAGGTTATGTAGAAGAGGCTAGAAAGTGGCGTTGTGGATTATCACACCAGCCATTACCTCTTTGGATGGTGGAGCAGACTCAATGGGCTGCATGGCCTATTTCTGCTACTATGTTTTATGATCTTATAGATGTCTTGTTGCAATTATGCAGGACCTTACCTGGAGTATTGTGTGCATTTTTGGGCTCCTTATCTGAGGAAGGATGTTTTGGAGGGAGTGTAACAACAGTTTGCTGTATCGATTACTGGAATAGCAGGACTGGAAGAGCAACTGAATCTGTTAGGGCTATATTCACTGGAGTATAGAAATAATGAGGGGAAAATCTTGTACAGACCTGTAAAATTCTAACAGGAATAGATAGGTGTAATACTATAGACTTCAGAACTTCAATAACTGTTCTTGGATTGAAGGGATCAACAAAGATAAACTTATAACATTCAGAAAGAAGCAACAATAAACTGTCTGAAATAAACTATTAAGGGACAAGGATAACCATGTCCAGGAATTGAAAGCAATTAGCCATGTCTGGGAATAGAAGGAGTCAAAGTGACATGAAAATGTTTTAACAGCTGCTTGATAATTGGCTGCCTTATGCCACAAGGACAAGTAATTACCTTGCAGGATAATTTAAGGAGTTAATCACAGGAAAGCTGTGTCTTCAAACAGGCAGTCAATGCCAAATGTAAGAAGGAACAGAGAAGTTACTCCCAATAAGAAGGCAAACCGCAGACTCAAGTGTTCCAGGGAAGTAATCAACATTTGGATGAAAGAAAAATAAAGAATTATCAATAATACCACATCATGGACTTGAAGGACGAAGATTGTTCTGGTGTATGACTCTATGATTCCACCTTAAACTTTGTCAGGGACTGAGCCTCCATTGCCCTCTGGGTACAGAATTCCAAAGGTTCACAACTGTCTGGGTCTCAGACCCAAGAGGCATCCCCCTTACTCTTAGGTTGTGCCCCTAATTCTAGACTCCCTACCTAGGGGAGACATCTTACCTGCAACTCCTCTGTCTATCCTTTGACATATTTTGTAGACTTCAATGAGATCACCTTCCATTCTTCAAAACTCTGGAGATTTCAGGCTCCAGTCTGCCAGCTTCTCTTCATAGGACAGTCCCACCACCCTGGAAGAAGTCTGGTGAACCTTCTTAGCATAATATCTTGCTTGAGATAAGGAGACCAAATCATACACAGCTGTGGTCTAACCCAGCTCTTTCAAATTAAAGCAAGATTTCACTACTTCTGTACTCAAATCCTTATCTATTTTTGTCTAGTTATTCTTTTATGTATCTCTTCATGGGTTCAGAGTATCACTGACAAGGTCACCATTTGTTATTCATCACATATCACCACTGAACTGAGTTGAGCTTGCTGGGCTATTTCAGAGAAATGTTAAGAGTCAGCTACATCACTTTTGGTCTGGAGCATATGTAGACCAGACAAAACAGTAACAGTTGACTTCCTTCCTAAAGGACATTAGTGAACCAGATGGGCTTCTACAACAATTGATAATGGTCGATGTGCTCACCATTACTTGAGAGTAGCTTTCAATTCCAGATAGATTTAATTGAAATGAAAATGAACCAGTTGCCTTGGTGGAATTTAAATTTCTCACTGTTTGAGACTGTGCCAACTGATGAGGCCAGAACATGATGAGCAGTCTGCACAATCTTCCAATGTAGAGTCTGGGAGACTTTGTTATTCCTGTGTGACACTCACACAGCCAACTGAAGGCATGGAGTGGCAATGGAAGCTAGCTTATTGCAAAAAGCATTTTATCAATAAGAACTAAGTTCACCTTTAAAATGTGTTCATTCTTAGAATACTGGCATTTCCAGCAAAGCCAGCATTTATTACCCTCTCCTAGTTGCCCTTGAGAAGGAATTTGTGTTTCTTCTTGAACCACTGCACTCATGGTATCATCAGGATTCTTTGCAATCTTGATACAACAAAGTAGGCCATTTATAAAAAACAGTCAAGGGTCAGTCATATCAGTTTGGGATGAGACTTGCCTATTAACCGAATCAGACAAGGGAAACACATTTCTATCCCTGATGGAGAGCAGCAAGTGAGTTGGATTCTTACAGCAGTTAACAGCTTTGTGAGCACCTTTACTGGTAACAGTTTTCTTAAAACTGAACACACATTCTCAAACTGCTCAAGGTTAGGGATTTGAAATGTTATTTTCTGGATTGCTACAGCAGTATCAACATCACCATATCACTGCGCTCAACACAGTTAACAAGCAAGGTTTGCTGCCGCCACACAAAAATTGGTCATATTACATGCAGGTCATCCAAATTCCAACAACAGAATCAATAATGTCCTTGGTGAGTTGGAAGTTCATGATTAATACGGAATTTCCAACAGAAGTTGCAAGAAGCACTCAACAATAACTTGCATTGATATGGCACCTTTAATACAAAAAAACAGTTGGAGATGCTTCGCAAGAATGCCATCACACAAGATTTGATATCAAGTTACATGAAGTATTAGAATAAGTGAACGAAAGCTTGATCAAAGCGGGGCGTCTTAAAAGGTCAAATGAGGGTTAAAGAGGGTGAGTAGGTCACAGAGAGAATTCCAAATATTAGGTTTCAGTAGCTGAAGTCATGTTAATGGTACAGTGATAAAAATTGGGAACCAACATGGGACCAAAATTGGACCTGGCAGATTGTAACTGGAGGAGGTTACAAAAATAGGGAGGAGCGAGGCCACCTAGAAACCAGTGTTTCTTGGTGTGGAGTGATGCAGTTTTGGAACACAAGGTGAAAGAAATGAATTCCTAAACCACTTACACAATGTCGTGAGGGGGCCCATCCTGTTTGCATTCCCATCGCAAAAGCTTTCCAACTTTAGTTGCATATAGCTGGAGTTGCTCCTCAGCTTTGTATAAACCAATATTTGAAGTTGCCATTACTTCCACAGACTGTAAAAATCAAAACTTTCAATCAAAACATATGATATGATGAAATATAAACAATAGTTTGTCATGGTCTGATCATGGACAATCAACAACTAAATGAAATCCAAACATCTTGCTTTAACATACAGAACTGCACCACAAGACTTTATTAAATAATGGCAAAATTTAACATATAAAATTTATTTAAACAAAACAATTGCTATCAACTGAGCAATATGCTTTACAATGATACATATTTATACACATAGTTTTATTTCTTATTTGTCCCAAGAGCTCCCTTAAAACTTATGGTGTCAAACTTACATCTATCAGCACCACCCAAAAGTATGCCACAGTCCTCTGGAATTTGACTTTAATTTTTCCTAGTGTTCCAACTATTCTTAGAGGTAAGACTTTTATCTACCAATTCCTTAACATGGATGCCTCAGTCCCTTGCTGTGGTGGCTTTCTCATTACCTCAGCTATTTCTGCTGATTGTTTTATTTTGCCACAAGAGTCAGTGAGGACTTCTGTCAATTCTTCCAGTAGCTTCAAACCACACAATCATCCAGCTTCTCTTCCTTCACAAAATTCAAAAAGCCTCACATTCCACATGGTGAATGATGAAGTTATCGTTTTCACCGTTCAAACTGCAAACCTAACTGTCATTGACTTTGATGATCTCCTTTCAGTGAGCTGCAAACTGCATATACCTGGTGCAAGCTGCAACTAACTCTTGCAGCAAACACTGAGATACACTAAAACCAGAGAACAACCCTAAGTTCCTCCCATTTCCATGACAACATAGTATGCACTGGGATGATCTTGAACAGACCTCACGGTTAGGTAGCCCTTACGTAAGAACCCTTTTTCAATCTGATGAAAGAAATTAATTTATAACCTTTTGTGTTTACTGAATGCTTTTAGGCTGATTTAGCTCTAATTCACAGATGGATTATGCATTGTTCAAGTTGCTCCATCTTTATGATCTTACATAGCTAGCTGTTAACCTTTTAAGATAACGGAGCCAAACCTTTAAAGGGCAATAGGTTTCGAGCTTCTTTTAATTCTACGTATCCCATTTTCTACAGTTAAAACTTTTAATTTCTAAAACAAAAAGTTCTTTATCTCCAAACAGCAAAGCTCTCAAGCTGGACTCAACTATTTTATAAATGAGATTGATAGATTTTTGTCAGGCAGCGGTATTAAGGTTAGAGAACCAAGGTGATCGATCATGATCTAACTGAAGGTTCAAGGACTAAACAACCCTCTCCTTTTCCTATCATTTCAATGCCTTCTTTCAGTCTAAACGTAATAATACAGGAAGCAGGAGTAGGCTATTTGACCCTTCAAGCCTGCTCCTCCATACAATATGATCATGGCTGATCATCAAAGTCAGTACCTTTTCCCGCTGTCGCTCCATACCCTTTGATCCTTTTAGCCCCAAGAACTATACCTCCTTCTTGAAAACATTCAACGTCGTGACATGACAATAAAAAAATTTAGAACCTAAATCTAAGTCAATTATTTTCTCGACCGATGGATGGATGGACAACAGCCATTAACCCTTTTGACAAGATTTGTAGCCCGGATTGTGGATGAGATTGTAGACCTGCTCACCGAGCCGGTGCGTTTGATTGCACTCGTTTCATCACCCTGCTAGGCAACATCGTCAGTGCGCCTCCGGTGAAGCGTTGGTGTTCTGTCCCGCTTGTTATTTATATGCCTCGGTTTGCTGGGGTGGTTGGTATCACTTCTGGTTTTGTTTCTCAGTGGTTTGTATATCGGGTCCTGTTCAATGTGTTTGTTGATGGAATTCCAGTTGGAATGCCACAACTCCAGGAATTCCCTGGCATGTCTCTGTTTGGCTGGTGCTATTATGGATGTGTTGTCCCAGTCAAATTCATGTCTTTCTTTGTCTGTGTGTATTGAGACGAGTAAGAACCGGTCATATCTCTTGGTGGCTAGCTGGTGTTCTTGTATCCTTATTGTCAATTTTCTTCTAGTTTGGCCTATGTAATGTTTCTCACAGTCCTTGCATGGTATTTTGTATGTTACGTTAGTTTTATTGGTTGTGGGTATGGGATCCTTTACGTTTGTTAGTAGCTGTTGCAGGGTGGTTACTGGTTTGTGGACTACCCTGATACCTAGGGGTTTGAGCAGTTTTGTGGTCATCTCTGATATTTCTCTGATGTACTGTAGGGTGACTAGTGTGTCTGGCCATGTTGTGTCTTCTTGTTGTGGTCTGTTGCTGAGGTAATGGCGGATTGTGCTTTTTGGGTATCCATTCCTTTTAAAAATGTTCCTGTTCTGCTTTGCGCAATTCCGGGTTGGTGCAGTGTGTTGTGGCCCATTTGAATAATGTCCTGATGTAGCTCCGTTTATGGGTGTCGGGGTAGTTGCTGGTGTAATTGAGTATCTGGTCTGTATGGGTGGCCTTTCTGTAAACACGGGTCTGGAGTTCCCCGTTGTTCTTAAGTTCCACCATTGTGTCTAAGAAGGGTAGTCAGTTATTGTTCTCTTCTTCTTTTGTGAACTTTATTCCGGTGAGGATGTTGTTTATGTGTCAGTGGCTTTCTTCTAGTCTTGAGCGTTTGATAATCACGAAGGTGTTATCTACATTTCAGACCCAGAGTTTGGGTTGGATAGTGGGGAGTGCTGTCTGTTCTAATCTTTGCATTACCACTTCTGCTATCAGTCCTTATATCAGGGATCCCATTGGTGTTCTGTTGATTTGTTTGAATATACGGTCGTTGAAGGTGGAGTGGTGTTGTGAGGCACAGATCCAGCAGTTTCGGGGTGCTGTCATGGGGTGTCTGCCTTTCTAATTCGTCCAGCAGTGTGGCAATTGTCTCTTTGGCTCGGTCGATGGTTATGGATGTAAATAGTGCTGTTATGTCGAACAATTTCATTATCTCATCCTCTTCTATTCTGGTGTCTGCGCGAATCCTAACGGAGCATTTAGTGGAGAAACAGGAATAACAGAGACATGCCAGGGAATTCCTGGAGGCCTGGCATTCCAACCGGAACTCCATCAAGAAACACATTGAACTGCACCCGATACACAAACCACTGAAAAACAGAACCGGAAGTGATGCCAACCAGTCCAGCAAATGGAGGCATATAAATACCAAGCAGGACAGAACACCAACGCTTCACTGGAAGCGCACTGACAATGCTACCTAGCAGGATGATGAAACGTCTGCAATCAAACACACCGGCTCAGTGAGCAAGTCTACAACCTCAAGGTTACCCCAAGAATTTTCTTTCTTTGAAGTTTAGTTTAGAGTTCAAATCCCAACATTACCCTCTGTTACCTGTCATTATTGGCAAAGCATTCAGATATTTAATAGATCTTTGGTTCATAATGAATCCCTTGGAATTTGTTCTTTAGCACTAAATGTGACCTAATCCTTTTAATCACTCAATATAACAGATCTATTAAAGATGCAGACTAAACACATCTGAATGTGATTATGCTGCTTCAGCTTGCCAATCTTGCACATTTCAACACTCATTGGCTGTCAAAGCTTTTCGTCTTGCAGGACAGACACAAGAATTCTTAAGTTCAAAGGGAGCAACAATTTGTATTGCATGAGGAAAGAATGCTGGTTGGTTGGCAAGTTGACTCTGATTAGTGGCATTGCAATGGAGAGTGCAGCAAAGAACCATTGCTTCCTCATACTTTTCTTTTTAAAAAGGCACAATGTCTGGACCTGTCCACTATGCCTGTAGAAAACAGGTCCCTGCATATGAATATTTTCCGCCTTATTGGAAGCCTTGTTAAAAAGGCCTGAACTATTTGCTCACCATACAAAAGTAGGGTGTCAAAATGGGGTACATTAAAGCTATAATGCAATTTAGTGGCTATTGTAATCACATTATTACCTGCTGTCTATTACAAATCTTTCAAATGGGGCTAAGGCCATCAGTTTGAGATCTGAAATATCTTGACTATCTGAAAACATTCTGGAAGGGTAAGCTAGTTCAAAAATCTGAGTAACAGGTAAAGACAGTTATTACATGCTACTATTATGTAGTAATACTATAACTGATATTTTCCATTAATAGGATTGTAATCAAGACAGGAACACGGTCTTCCATACAGATGCTCACGTTGTTTTCTTCATGACACACAAATGAGTAATGCAGTTATGTGAATTTCAGTGCCGGTGTAATGCTAACATATCTAGGCCCCATATCCCAATGACTGCTGACTTGTATTAAATATCACATTCCTTTGGCTGCTTGCAGTAGGCAGAGTACTGGCCATGCTCGACTCGCAAAATGTTTGTAAAACACAGAATGTAATGTTCCAATGATAGATATAATTCCCTGTTTTGATATCAGTTACTGAACAATCCTGAGTGTGACAACAATTACACAAAAACCAACTTAAGATGATCCATTGGGCTCACAATCTGGCCAATCAGCACACCTTTTTCATGTGATGTCAACTATTGCTCCCCACCATTAAACTTCGGAATTCTTGTGTCTGCTCTGATGATTACAAGACAAAAGGCTTTGACAGACTGTCCCTTTCTCACCAGCCGAGAACTGTCATTACAAAGAATTGAAGTGTTAATATCAGACCTCCTTGTAATTTACACAGGGAATGAAACTAGGAGTCATGTAAAACAGGCAGCAGATCCAATATTGCCCAATGTAAAGTTTCATCCAAATCTAAATCATCTCCCCTACATAGATGGCAACAAGGCCATTGCAAACTGGATGCACCACTTTTCCAAACACTTCTTATAAAACTCATATTGCAGCTGTTAGGAGTCTTGGTAGAAATATTTGTTTGTGTTAGATACAGGGAAATGTATTTACTAAAGCCTTGATTTGGAAAGATAAAACAATTCTTGTGCAATGTTCTTTAAGATTCATTCACACCACAGGCTAGGCATCCTGCAAAGTATTTTCCTGGCCTCACTTGGCTCTAGGGCAAAGCAAAGGCTAAACTTGCATTTTAAACCTAGAGTTAAATTTATTCCAAAGGCCGTGAGTTCAATCCACATACTGAGAGGTGAATGTATCTTCAAGGCTGTCACATCCAAGGTGTGCTGTCACAGTTCCTGTATTTTCAATCAGACCTTCAAGTGTCTACCTGCTTGAGTGGACACAAAAGATCCTATACACATGATGTAAAGAACCTCATGAAACACTGTGCAATATCCTGGCCAATATTTCACCCTCAAACTCTCAGAGGTTTGAGAGTCTTTGGAACTCCTTGCCACACAGAGCTGTGTGGACAGAGTCCTTGTGTAAATTTGAGGCTGAGATAGATTCTTCATCAGTAGCGGAATCAAGGATTAGAGGGAAAAGACAGGAAAGCAGACATGAGGAAAATTACCCAAGGGGACATTACTCATAATCCCATTGAATGGCACAGCAGACTCAATAGACTGAATTATCTACTCCTGTTCCAATTTCTTGTGGTCTCATAGAGACATATCAAATTTCAGATAAAAGAAAAAATCAGATTTGATGAGATCTCAAGATTTTTGTTCCCCCTTCCTAGTCCCTTCACACCCAAGGAAATGAGTTAGGGAGCTAGGTAGTATTATATGGAACAGGAATGTGACTGGTTTAGAAGATTAGATATCAGTTACTGAACAATCCTGAGGTGTGACAACAATTATGGTAAAACCAATTTAAGATGATTCATTGGGCTCACAATCTGGCCAGCCAATCAGCACACCTTTTTCATGTGATGTCAATTATTGCTCCCCACCAAGAATTGAAACATTGCTGAATGTGCAGAATTCAGACACTCACAAACTAATAAAGGATTTCCCTTCATTACAATCAAATGTCCCAGTTAACACACTGAAATGCCAGGATCATTTTGATAAGAACATGTTTAGTACAGAAAATATATAGGTTATTTCTACAGATATATTAGATCAATTTCCTTTCCTTCAATTCTCTATTTAAGACTGCAATAAAAAAGCAATAATACAAACAACATAAAACAATTTAGTAAAAGTACTGCAGATGCTGGAAATTTGAAACAAGCAGAAAGTGATGGAGAACCTCAGCAGATCTGTCAGTATCTGTATAGAGAGAGAAGCTGAGCCAATAGTTGAGTCCAATGACCCTTCAGATTATGATCCTTCTGACAAAGGGTCACTGGATTTGAAACATTAACTCAGCTTCTGTCTCTACAGGGGGCTCTCTGAGCTAGACTTGCAGCAGAGGGATGAGGAAACCCTTCAACAGGGCCTTAGAAATTTCAAATTATCTTCAGCAACAGGCAATCGAAATGATACAAAGTAATTTAAACGAGACAGAGATTGACGGATTTTTGAGGAAAATGTAAGGAACATGGGGAAAAGCAGGGATATGAAGTAAATCAAACATTCTCTCATGGGATGGTGGAACAGGCGTCAATGGTGATGGTCTGGCCCTGTTCCTATGTAACAGCGACAACATTTGCAAAGCTGCAAAAGGCCAAGGGACCTATAGAGACCGGCAAAGGGTTGTAAAAAGATACACATCTCCCAGTTGTTTCAACTAGGAGAGCGGTCCAGGCTCGGGTTAATGTCTTATCTGAGAGACTAACAGTGAGGGTGTCAGCCTTAATTCTGTACTCAGTCTCTGAAGAAAAGACTTAAATCCCTAACCTGCGACTCAGAGAGTCCACTGTAACGGAGCTGACAGTAAAACAATATTCACCATTAAGTAACCAATCGGTAAGAAGGTTTTTGAAAGCTGAGTCACACTGTCCTCCCCTGCCGAACCCACGGTGCGCTGCCCCCTAAAGTTTCGGCCGGTGTGTAATATAACATTATTCTGTAATGCGTTCAGAGCCCAAGGAAAACAATGTCAACTCACCGTCAGTGCTCACAGCCGCAATCTCTTGTCTCTCGCAGTGGAGACCGTGAACGCAAATTGTCTCCTCCTTCAGTCAGAAAGAGAGTTTCGTTTCTCCTCCTCCGCTCCTTTTACTTTCGCTTTCCTGCAGCGTTACTGCGGGAGGCCTTCCGCAGCCAGAAGGATCAGAGGTGGAACCACTGTGTGGCCCACATTGCAAACACGGAGCGGAGAGAGATTCATGAATTGAAAGGGGATGGATGCAAGGGAGGGTGTTGATTTAGAGTGGGTGTTTAATGAAAGGAGCGTGTTTTAATACAGGATGAGTTTTTGGGAAAGAGGCGTTGGAATTCATTTGGCTGAACCTGTTTGAAGGAAGTGTCATATACATTGCCAAACTTGTAGGGAGTGGCTTTTCCCAGCGGACTACCAATCAGGGTGTCAAAAATCATCTCCATCACTTCTTTTCTGTGGGGCAAAGCTGCTTCCTGGATAGTGTTCACTGGCAAGGAACACGATCTGCTATCCCATGAAGGTATCCTCAAGTGCACAGCCTCCTTTGATGGAAGCCATGCAGTTTATATTTCAAGGTCGTTGTGGTCTCCACTACATCGGGGAAACCAAGCGGAGGCTCGGGGACTGCTTTGCGGAACACCTACGCTCGGTTCGCAATAAACAACTGTATCTCCCTGTCGCGAACCATTTCAACACCCCCTCCTCAGACGACATGTCCATCCTGGGCCTCCTGCAGTGCCACAACGATGCCACCTGAAGGTTGCAGGAACAGCAACTCATTCCACTTGGGAACCCTGCAGGCCAATGGTATCAATGTGGACTTCACAAGCTTCAAAATCTCCCCACCCCCAAACCGCATCCCAAAACCAGCCCAGCTTGTCCCTGCCTCCCTAACATGTCCTTCCTCCCACCTATCACCTCCTCCCACCTCAAGCCCCACCCCCATCTCCTACCTACTAGTCTCATCCCGCCCCCTTGACCTGTCCGTCCTCTCTGGACTGACCTATCCCCTCCCTAACTCCGCACCTACACTCATCTTTACTGGCTCCATCCCCACCTCTTTGACCGGTCTGTCTCCTCTCCACCTATCTTCTCCTTTATCCATCTTCTATCCGCCTCCCCTCTCTCCCTATTTATTTCAGAACCCCCTTTCCCTCCCGCATTTCTGAAGAAGGGTCAAGGCCGGAAATGTCAGCTTTCCTGCTCCTAATATGCTGCTTGCCCTGCTGTGTTCATCCAGCTCTACATCTTGTTATCTCATATTTCAAGGTCTGTTCGGTTCCATGTGTGCCCCTTTCCAAAGGATGGAATCCCAGCTACATGCCACTAATTTTCTCTTTAGCTGATACCTCCTGTTAGGAAGAGCATTGATGAAGGTGTTGGTCCCCTTTATGACAATGGGTAAGTTAGATTGAAGGATTAGCGACACAAGAAGCATCATCTCTGATCCATTGCAAATCGATACCCACCAGCTGACAAAGATCCTTGAAATGCCAACTTGAGAAACAAAGGGAGACTGTCCACATAGACTAATGAATGGACTCTCTAATTTAAAATAATGCTGGTCTTGTTTTATGTTGAACTTGCTTATCGCACAGCCTTTGCAGTGTAACCTGTACACCTTACTCTGTCAAAGTTTCTTTTTCACCCTATAATCTGTATGCCCTTGCTTACTATGATCAGCCTGTACTGCTCACAAACAAAGCTTTTCACTGTACAATAAATCAAATCAAATCAGTGTGGTCATGTGTAGATCATTGGGTATTGGATAGTAGCAAACATAACCAAAAGGTCATCTGTTGTGCCCTGCAACCTAAAGCTCCCTGACAGAGTAGTCTTCCTTATTTCAATTACATATGGTGTTTGGATCTCCAAATGAAAACAATACACAGCCTAATCTCTTTGTCATATATCATGTTAAACCCTGCAGTAATTAAGAGTAATCTAATAACAGCATCGTACATGCCAGCCCTCACGAGAAAGGCAGAGTATGCCATTATCTCCAAATTTCTTCCCTCTGCATCATTTAGACCATGGCCCTATATCAGTTGTTTCTTCAGCATCCTTGGTTTAACACCTGATTCAGCAAGACTGAAGGAATAGCAATTTTTTTATTTGACTTGGATGGGAGATGGTGACGTTCATATACGTTTGCTGCCCTTGCTTTTGTTTTTGGAAATAAAAGTCGTGAATATGCATATTTTTTCATTCACTCATGGGATGCAAGTGTCATTGGCTGGGCCAGCATTTATTGCCCATCCCTAGTTGCCCTTGAGAAAGTGGTGTTGAACTGCCTTCCTGACCTGTTTCATCCATGTTTGACCAGATATATGTGGACAATTTTCCACATTGTCTGGTAGGTGTTAGTGAAGGTCCCAGCCTTTGCAGGAACTAGTACCTCCAGTAATTTGGTGATATCATTTAGAGCGATTCAAACTGTCTAAAGGTCCAGTCTGGTTAAACATCTGGTCCCCATGGTTGATCATAGGGATTTGTTTGCATAGAGGACTTTGCAAGTACAGGTTTAGCATTTTTCACTGAAATTCTGTCTTCCGTGGGCTGGTCTAGTTCAATATTATTATAGCAATTTACTGCTACATGTATTTATGAAAATACTGCCAAAACATGTCTAAGTCATCATAATTAATCTGGCACCATTTTAATTACATAAATTATAAAAAAGAAATAATACATACAAAGTCAAGACAAATTTCATGTTTTTGTTCCAACGACGGCTTCTTGAATTCACAAGTGACTACCTGATGTGCCTTATTCTGCAGGTGCCAAAACTGTCCATGAGGCTGCAACACCAAGGAGGAAGCACACTGAACTAACCCCTGCTGACCGAACACCATCTCTGTCAAAGGCACCTCATCATCACCGATACTCCAGCTGCCGCCATAGCCAGGAGACTGTCCCAACTCTCATAGACTGCGGCCCATTCTCAGCTTCCAAGGACCGACACACCATCCAAATGAACTCTCCAGGATCAAAGGATCATTCACTCTGCTGCCTTTGCAGATGCCGCCAAAAAACCAAAGGAAAAGAACCGGCCCCAATCCATCAATGCTGGAACAGTTGCTGAAACCATTACTACCATGGCCATGAGGAATGGACTGGATCCACCATTCAACAGCTCCCTGCAACCTCTCTCTAACACCGCCCCCGCAGAAAGAAGAAAAAATGAATTTGATTCAAAAGTTAAATGAAGAAAAAAGAAAGGATGTAATCGGTCATATGAGAGGGAGTGGATGGGCCAAGAGACTGAATACTCCTACCTTGATGTCTCTGCCATCTCAAAAGAGTGGGGATTTCTTCGCATTGTAAGTTTGTCCACTATCAACAACTTCTCAATATTTCTGGAGTCTTTTTTTTAAATGAGTGTGTATATGAGACACAATCAGGGCTGATAATGGCAATGTGTTTGCATTGGTGAGATATTTACAAATACAGAGTGAACATTCAAGACTATTCAGCTTGCTTTCAGTTACAAGAATTGATTTTGGCTTTTTTTTGCTTACAGGAAACAACCCAGCTTCTAAAGCCATCTGAGGTAAAGAATTCCACATATTCACTACACTCAGAATAAATTCCTCCTCACCTGTTACTTAAATGTTTAACCTCTTGCTTGGAGATTATGCCTTCTCAAACTAGAGTCTTCCACAAGAGGAGAACAACCTTTCCGCATGTTGTCAAGTCCCATAAGAATCGTGTATGTTTCAAAAAGGTCACCTCTCGTTCTTCTATATTTTAACAAATACAGGCCCAACCTATTCAACCTCTGCTCGTAAGACAGTTTTTCCATTCCCAGGATCAGTCTGGTGAACCTTCTCTGATGGCCTCTAGTATCAGTATATCTTTCCTTAGATATAGGGAACCAAAAACAGCTTGCAGTATTCCAGGGGGAAATCACAGTGGCTCAGTGGTTAGCACTGCTGCCTCACAAGGCCAGAGTCTTGAGCTCAATTCCAGCCTCAGGCGACTGTGTGGCATTTACACATTTTCTCCCCATGTCTGCGTGGGTTTCCTCCCACAATCCAAAGATGTGCAGGCGAGGTGGGTTAACCACGGGAAATGCAGGCATTTGGTGGGGGGGTCCTAGGTAGGATGCTCTTTAGAGAGTTGGCATGGACTTCTTAGAATCCCTACAGCGTGGAAACAGGCCATTCGGCCCAACAAGTCCACACCGCCCTTCCAAAGAGCATCCCACCACAACTCATTCCCCTACCGCTGCATTTCACCATCTAACCTAAATATCCCTGGATGCTATTGGCAATTTAGCATGGCCAATCCACCTACCCCACACATCTTTGGACTGTAGGAGGAAACCCACACAGACACAGGAGAGTGCACAAACTCCACAGACAGTTGCCCGAGGGTGGAATCGAACCCGGGTCCCTGGTGCTATTCTGTGGTTTGACTAGTGCAAAGATTGTAATGAGGTCAGCCAGGTGGATCCACAGAATATGTGTTCCATGATTAGGACTGTTAATCTGGCCCAATCAGGGAGCCCTGACTGACAGATATATGCAGGAGTCTCAGAGGTTCTGCTCACTCTGAAAAAGCCAGACTGGTGTCAGGTACAGTGCATGTATAAATAGGGGGTGACTTGGTGACAGGATACCGGCCTCTGTGAAGTTATTTCAGTGACAATGAGAGACTAAAAATATGCTTCTGAAAAAATTAGCTTACCTTTGAATTGGGGTAAGCATTTCTGGCACAATGCCATTTTCAATCCTGATGTCAAAGACTGGGCCCAGTATGTAGGGAGAATGTTGTTATTCCCAGGCAAATGACATTGGAGCAGATGAAAAGCACTGAGTAATTCTCCTGACAGCTTGTGGTCCCACAGCTTTTTTGGCTATTAGTAACCTAATGTTTCCTGAGGTACCAGACACTGAAACCTTTCAAGAATTGATGGATTTAGTTAAGGAATATTACAACCCAAGCCTCCTCTACTTCTGAGATGCCATTAGTTTTACTCAGCAGTTTGAGAACTAAGGGAATCAATGTTGGGATTTTTTATGAGATTAAGATGACTAGCAAAAGCACACAAATTTGATTTAACCCTTAATGAGATGCTGAGAGACTGTTTGGTATGTGGGATTAATGACAAGATCATGCAAAAGCACTTATTAGATGAAGTCCAACTGAACTTCAAACAGACACTACAACTGGCTTTATCACTAGAAAATGCAGCAAGTGGAACAACTGAGTTAAAAAGTATGCCAGTCCCTTGCTAGCCCAACTGAGCTGGGGTACACTTCAGTCAAGGCAATTGTACAGCCTCACTCAGGACATGCTCTGAATAGAGGGACTTTAAGTCAGCCCACAGCAAAACCCCAAAACAAAGCCAAGCCTCAGCCAAACGGTTAACATTTTCTTCAGGGCTGGCAAGCCATTGTAGTTGCTGCCGCCTGCATGGGGATTTGAGGCAGCTAGAGTGTCCCACTGGGCCTGAATTGAGTTAGACAACTCATAGGCCGGCATCCAGGAGAGTATCCACCTACTTCTGATTTGGAACAGTTAAATTGCTTAGCAACATCCAAATCGTAACCAATCAAAATAAACATCTGGTTAAATGGTCACCCGGTTCTAATGGAGGTTGGTACCGATGCAGTTGTATCAGAGATTGCAGAACCAGTCTTTAACAAAATTCACTCTAGACTCCAGCGCTTAAGTTTGCATACTACCTCAGCTTGACTGAGAACCCTTACAGATTAAAGGTGCAATTTTGGTCCCAGTCTTGTGTAAGAAGCAACTGGTTCGGTTACCGCTTTTTGTAGTAAAAGGCTTGGGCCCAAACCTAATCAGGGTAAGTTGGTTGAGAAAGACTCACATTGATTGGCTCAACATTTTGATTAGAAAATGGCTGCCTGAGTGAAGTTCTATTAACATACCCAGATATTTTTCAGGAAGGTCTCGAGACTATCGAAGGAGCCAAAGCCACCTTATATGTGGACCAAGAGCAATTCTATGATTCTGCAAGGCCTGCCCAGTGCTAGGATAACTGGATGAACACTGCAGGCCAAGCAGCATCAGAGGAGCAGGAAGGCTGACGTTTCGGGCCTAGACGCTTCTTCAGAAAACCAGTGCTCAGTGCTATTTGCCTTACGGGTAAAAGTAGAGGCCGAAATCCGGAGGCTGGAAAGTGAGGGAATCATCAAACTCCAGTACAGTTGGCACAATCGGCTGCACTGGTCATGCCAGTTGTGAAGCCTGACTGGTTAGTACGCCTGTGTGGGGATTTTAAAGAAATGGTAAACAACCTCTTGCAGCTGGATAAATACCCAAACCCTCGCATGGAGGATTTATATGGAAAGCTTGTGGGGGTGGGGCTGTCATTCACAAAGCTGGACGTGAGCCATTTACCTTTACAATTGCATCTGCCTTCATTTCAGAGCACGAAAATATCTTGCTGGAATTTGCAGGGATTGAAATTTAATAGGCTTTGAGCCACAATGTGGAATTTCATAAGGACAAGGGAAGTATACCCAGTGAATTATTTTCAGGCAAATAAAGCTACACAATATAAATCAATAAATACAGAGGTACTTTAAAATAAAATGTCAAAAGTACAAATATTTTACATGTACAGTTGCCCATCTGTCAAAAGGTTGTAAAGGTGAGAGAGTCCAGTATCACAATGGAAATGGCATCATTCAGTTCATTTTCTTCAAATACAAGTTGGAGCACACATCGCCAACACCAGCTCGGAATTGACAACGGAGTTTTAGAAGTTTTTTTTCATATTCAGAACACTCCATTCCAATCTCAGAAGTGCAGTGCAGTGCCATGCCACCACCAATGCTATTTCTGTTTGCTCTGTACTGTGCTTCATCAGTCAGCAGTGGTCAGCAGCACAATCCCCGGGACAGTTATCAGATAGGTCTTCCTCATCTGCAACAAGCCAGAAGCAACATTTTCAAAATCGATGGTAGATTTTTTTTGTGCAGGAAATGGATCAAAAGAAAATAAGCACTAGCATTTATACAGTGCCTTTCATACCTCAATACATCCCAAAGACTTTACAGCCCAATGGTATATTTTTAACGTAGTCACTGTTGTAATTCTCCTTTGTCCATCATTCAGGTATACCCTGGTGTACGTTCTACCTTTCAGCAGCAGAGATTCTCAGTGATAGGCCCTCAACAAAGGGGTTTTTCTCTCTTCCATTGGGGATCTGGATGATTGCAGCAGTTCCATGTAACAGTAGGTCAAGTTCACTGGGGCCATGTGTTATTTTTGTGGCCTGGGTGAAACAGTTTCTCACGTTTATGTTGTGTTTCTGGATGCAGTGCCCGTTAGTTCTTCTGAAGCAGCTGCTCTCAAATTTCTGGTTGAGAATTTTTCAGAGAATGTGACAGTGAAATCAGTAACAAGGAAAAGTGAAATAGCAGGTAATTTAAAGCAATACTCTGCATTGGTCTTCGTGGTGAAGGACAGTATAAATACTGATTAGTAAGATTAGATCACATGGGATCCAGGGGGAGCTAGCTAATCGGATTGAAGGTAAGAGACAGAGGGTGGTGGTAGAGATTTGCTTTTCGGACTGGAGGCCTGTGACCAGCAGCGTGCCACAAGGATCGGTGCTGGGTCCACTGCTTTTCATCATTTATATAAATGATTTGGATGTGAATATAGGAGGTATTGTTAATAAATTTGCAGATGACACCAAAATAAGTGATGTGGTGGTCCGTGAAGATTATCTCAGAGTACAAAGGAACCTTGATCAGTGGGGCAATGGGCTGACAGTGGCAGATGGAATCTAATTTAGGTAAGTGTGAGGCGTTGCATTTTGGTAAGGCAAACCAGGGCAGAGCTTATACAGGGCCCTGGGGAGTGTTGCCGAACAAAGAGACCTTGGGGTGCAGATCCATAGTTCCTTGAAAGTGGAGTCGCAGGTAGACAGGGTGGTGAAGAAAACGTTTGGTACACTTGCCTTCATTGGTCATAACACTGAGTATACGAGTTGGGACGTCATATTGCGGCTGTACAGGACATTGGTGAGGCCACTTTAGAATACAGTACACAATTCTGGTTGCCCCTCTATAGCAAAAATGTTGTTAAAAACTTGCAAGGGTGCAGAAAAGATTTACGAGGATGTTGCCGGCACTGAAGGGTTTGAGTTATAGGGAGAGGCTGAATAGGCTGGAGCTTTTCTCCACTGGAGCGTCAGAGGCTGAGGAGTGACCTTATGGAGGTTGATAAAATCATGAGGGGCATGGATAGGATGACTAGCCAATGTCTTTTTCTTAGGGTGGGTGAGTCCAAAACTAGAGGGCACAGGTTTAAAGTGAGAGGGGAAAGATTTTGAAAGGACCTGAGAGGTAATATTTCACACAAAGGGTAGTGTGTGTATGGAATGAGCTGCCGGAGGAGGGTGCAATTCTGACATTTAAAAGGCATCTGGATGGGTAGAAGAGGAAGGGTTAAGGGGATATGGGCCAAATGGGGAGGGTCGACTAGGTCAGATCAGGATGTCATGTCAGCATGAACGAATGGGCTAAATGGTCAGTTACTGTGTTGTATGACTATGACTCTACAAGGAAGGAAAGTGCTAATGGGAGTAAAGATTTTGTGACAGTCTGTATGAGATACAAAGTATCTGACAAATTAATGGGAATAAATAAGTGATAAGTCGCTAGGCGCTGATGGCCTGCGTACAATGATGTCAAAGAAAGTGGTTACAGAGATACTGGAGACATCGATTGAAATATTGCAGCTCACTGAATTCTAGTAGGGTTCCAGCAGACTGAAAAACTGCTAAAGTGATGCCACTGTTCAAAGAGAGAGGGAGACAAAAGCCAGGAAGCTATAAGCCAGTTAGTCTGATATGCTGGTGGGGAAAGTCTGGAGTTCACTGTCAAGGACGAAACAGCAGTGTATTTAGAAAAGGTTAACACAGAGTCAACATGGTTTTGTGTAAGGTAAATCATGTTTGACACATTTGCTCAAGTTCTTCGAGGACATAATAAGCAGAGTTGATAAAGGGTAACCCAGTAAATTAAATGCACACAGGTGCTATAACGTGTGTTTCGTTAACACGAATTGTCTATAACATAATTGATGAATGTGGTCGCTGTTTGGATAACACAAACTTTCTGCTGTACAGGTATAGCAATTTCCTATAGCGATTTCCCTATAACGTGATTTTCTACGGCGATTTTCTATAGCATAGAAAAGTGAGAGATTATGCAGATATAGGAAGAATCTAAAGGAAGACTATTATTTAAATGGAGAGACACTCCAAACAAGCACAGCACAGAGGCAAAACACCTGAGGTTAGTATACAAGTGCAGCAAGTAATTAGAGGCAAATGGAATTTTGGTCTTTATTGCTAAGGAGTTGGAATTTAAAACCGGGGAAGTCTTATTACAACTGTACAGGGTATTAGTGAGGGTGCACCTGGAATACTATATATAGTTTTGGTCTCTGTATTTTAAGAACAATATAGTGGTGTTGGAGGCAGTTCAAAAGTGGCATTATTTTGTTGAATGAGTGACGTGAAATGATGCCTCTGGACAAGATAAAGAACAGGGAGGAAACAGGATGTTTGATGATAGCATTTTTAAAATTCACTTGTGGGACCTGGGAATTGCTTGCTGACCAGTATTTATTGTCTGGTTGCTTTTGAGATGATGGCAATGAGCTACTTGTTTCCGTGTTGCTAGCCTCTGACGTGCTCTTGTAGCCACTGTATTTATATGGCGAGTCCGATTGAGTTTCTGGTCAATAGTAACTCTCAAGATGTTAATAGTAGGGAATTCAGTGATGGTAATGCCTTTGAGTGTCAAGGGTGGTTAGATTATGTTTTATTGGAGATGGTCATTGCCTGGCATTTGTGTGGTGTGAATATTATTTGCCTCTTTACAGCTCAAGTTTGGGATGTTATCCCGATCCTACTGCATTTAGACATGGACTGCTTCCATCTGCCATGTAGGACAAGACAAGATGGGTGAAATTAAGAACTGGAATGCTGTGTTAATTGCAAGAAGAGGGGTTGGGAGGGTGTCAAGGCAGAAGCTGTCGAAATAAGCACATCCCAGTGAAAGCGACTCTTAGGTTTTGCTTTGCAATCCTCTATGATTTCTGTTTATATCCAAATCTGGTTTCTTGGGCATTTCTCACTTCTTCCTCCCCAATACTGACAGACAAACCATTAGCTACTTAGGTCCTAAGCTCTATAAAAGTGTTGGCTGCAGTTCAAAAAAAAAAAAAAATTGGCTACAAGTTGTTTCAGGATATTGAGGTCATGTAAAAATGTAACATAAAAACAGTCCAGTCTTGAGCGGATTTAAAAAACGTATTAGGTAGAATACATTTCAAAACAAGAAAACTGCTTTGGACTATTTGTCAAATGAGGGATATTCAAAATACAGTTGCATATTGAAGAGCCCAGTGTTTGGAATTTTAATGGGCTGAGGGACGTTTATGCAGCTGAAATTTTTTAAAAATGTTCTTAAAGCATAATTTTTGGGAAATCAACTCAACTCTACATTTAACCATACAAGCCAAAATACTTGGATTTTGTAGAATTGGAATAAAAGGAAGTATGCACCTATCTAGAAACTTTCTAAAAGTAGGTAGAGTGTATTTTTACCTTGGTAAGAAATTGCACACCAGACACAGTAGAAATATTTTCTCCTGAGATAGCTGGTCAAAATCAGCAGTTTTTCCTCAGTCTGAAAACAAGAAAACACTATTTCAATTAACAAGCTTATCTTCAACAAAGGAAATTGTGACTCAACCACAGACCATATTCCTGCAATCCACAAGGAATCATTCACTGCATTCCTGTGCTCCACTGCTCCTGTACCGCAGATGTGCGAACCCATCGTACTCCTGTGATCCTGATGTGGTCACTCACTGCATTCTCCCACTCTAGATTAATAATGTATTGCCTTCTACACCAGACCTGGTAATCCACTCTGTTCCTGCTGAAGATGAAAGGAACAATTCTTGTCCTAATGGTCTTGGGAAGTGTGAATTGTAATGTGGGATGATGACAACAGGCAAGTATCAAGTGGTTCAAAAGAATATCCATTTAAAAATCAGCTTTCGTGAGTTAAATACTTTCCATAGCATTTCAGAGTCATTTTTTGAAGTGCATTGTTTTAATGAGGGCACTTGTTAATGCTAGAAGAGAGTGAATGCTACAGTGAAACTGTGCACAGCAAGACTCCACAAACAACGATGTCATAAGTAATCAATCTGATGTTGGATGAGCGATACATATGGCCAGGTCACCAGGAAAATTCTTCTAGCTTGCTCTCAAAGTAATGCCACAAAATTTTTTGCATTTACCTATGTAGGGAGATGGGTTCTTATTTAAGTTCTCATCCAAAAAGTGCACCTTTGACACTGCGACATCCCTTATTGCTGCACCAGAATATTAGCCTGCATACTGCACTTAAGGAAATGATAGAGGACTTGAATCCCCAAACCTCTGAAGAAACAGTGCTAATCACTCAAATATGGATGGGTTCAATGAAGGGATAGGTGTTATTGTTCGAGTTGAGGCCAGTGAAGGTGGTGATTGTAATCTGTCATGCAGTGCAACAAACTACGTGCACACAACCTTTAAGATGAGACTGCCATGACCATGAGCAATCTTAGAGGAACTATACATGAAAAAAAAATAGACTGTACAGAACAAAGAAAGAAAAATGGAGAACGTTCGGTATAGCATTTTGTTTGAATTGAGCCTTTGTGTGTATTTCACCAGCATTGCTCTCTAGGCAAATCATTGCTGGGAATGTTCACTCTCAGCTCAGTGAGAATGAGTGGGCTCCAATGCAGCAGCAAACTCAATTGTTCCCAAACACAAAAGGCACAAAACTAGGAGTATGTAGTTCCAAGAAAGCACTAATGGATTTGACACACAGAACTTAGCAAGTTGTGCGTATGATAGCAATGTAAATAAAAATATATGAACTATCAGGATGAGATAGCAAGAACTGCAGATGCTGGAGTCAGAGACAATGCTCTGTGGAGTTGGAGGAACACAGCAGGTCAGGCAGCATCAGAGGAGCAGGAAAGTTGATGTTTCAGGTCAGAAGAGTCCTGACCTGAAACATCAACTTTCCTACTCCTTTGATGATGCCTGGCCTGCTGTGTTCCTCTAGCTCCATGCTGTATTGAACAATCAGGATATTTTGCTCCTCTCCAGTTTAGCGCTCGTACTCCTGAAAGTGCTGTCTTGTCACCGATTCCCTGTCCCAGTGACCACTGCTTATACCAGTTTTGATGGTGAGCACCAGTAGCCTATTACAGAGCTGGAACCACAAGCTAACCCCTTTAGGTTCCTTCACCAAATATCCACATACTCTTTTATTTGGAGTGGGGGTGAGGGGGAAAGAAGAGGGAGAGAAACTAGAAAAAGGTGTTCTTCGAGGTGATTTCTTAACATGTCTCTTAATTATTGTACACAATCTTTAATAAATCTTGTAATAAGATTTGAGAAAATAAAAATTGCTTTACTGTGCGAAACATTTCATAATCCCGTCCACTTGATTCTTCTTCCTCCTCCTTTCCATCATCATCATCATCATCATCGACGGAAGTGGGTAACCAATACCATGCTTCTTGTGGAACATCTATACCCTGGACATGAAGTAATGAAGGACATTTAATATGGCAATTAATAATAGCAGACAAATGTAAGTTCCTGTATAACCACATGTCTGTCTTATCACACTTCTACAATTTGGTTACTGAGTTTCTGGGAGGAACGTGTTGATTTCCACTAAAAGCAAATTAAGGCTCAAAGTGTTCAAGAACTTGTTACATCTTAGTCTCTGATGAACAGATTAGTCTGGGAGCTGGATGGGGGAGAACATTGGTTTTTCATGTTTCTGAGGACTTCACATCATTCGTAGCACTCAGGGTGAAAGTGAATGTCCACTATTAAATCCACAGTCATACCTCCAGAGCTTATTTAAACTAGTGCACGAGCACACTCACATTCCACTATGAGGCAACTTGTGGTGAGAGAAACTGGAGTACAGAGAAATTGGATATGGACTTGAAAAAGGAAAGAGAGAGACCGAAAAAGGGAAGATCTTAAATATTTGAAGCAGATAAAGAGACAAGGCTGTGGGAAAAGCAACAATGTAGAATTTGTTCCAACAAATGGTCATTGACCTGGAAACATTAATCGTTGTTCTCTCTCCACAGATACCACCAGACCTGCTAAGTGTTTCCAGGTTTTGTTTTTATTTTTGTCTTTTACCATCCACAGAGTTTTGCTTTTATTATACAGGATTAGTGTTAGATTTTCCTTGCAAAGAACCAGCATAAGGGCAACTGCACTCAAAACTGTGGTTTATGGACTGGCAGCCGAAACGAAAGATTCGCTTTCTATAATACCTTTCGTAACCTTAGGACACCCAAAAGTGCTTTACAACCAACCAGTTGGTTTGTCAACTTTATAATGTAGGAAATGTAGCAACCAAGTTCTGTACTGCAAGACAGCAGCAATAGCGTTGTAATGGTGACTGTATCCTCACCATTTTAGTGATGTTGATTGAGGGATAAATATTGATAAGACAATAGGAAGAATTTCCCTGCTCCTCTTTGAAATTGTGCAGTGAGATCTTTAACATTGACCTGAAAGGGCAGACAAGGCAAAGGGACTCAGTTTCACATCTTATCTGAAGGATGTAACATTATAATGAGGAAGGACAGCAAAAAAGTAGCTTTTAACTGTTCTTCTTTATATGCTTTTTACATTAATCATGTCGACTGCACATGCTCTTAGGGACCAACAGTCACAGACTTGAATTTAAAGACCACCTAATTCCAATAATATAACCGCTAAGCTACTGTCTCTCCTATAGTTTCATTAGATGCCTTCCCTACTCAACCTTTAAAGTTACAAAGACGCTATCCAAGAAACAAATTAGATTCCTACTGGCTCAAATTTCCAACCCTTGTGATCTCATGGGTCTGTATAGGATTACTATCAATTAGTGGTCATTTTAAACAAATCAGGCTAGTGGGCAGAAAGTTGAACTACTGTTTAGTTGTTCATTTTGAATCCAAGGTAGATAAATTAAAGTACTTCCTAAATGCTTACAAACTAGGAACTGCAGAGAGATTGGAGTCCAAATATTGAAATCATTAAAGGCTAGTATTCATGTAACAAGCAAAATCAAAATAGACTAACGGTATGGTGACCAGTGGCCTAAAGAAGCTGGTTTACCAAGAGACGGAAGTTGCAATTCAGTTTAGAGTTTAGTTCCACTCGGTCTAGTGCATTCAATTTGGGCACTGCATTTCAAAGGATATAATGGTAGCCTCCCAGTGTGGAAATCTATTGTTCATACACACCAATTGTCTAGAAATGCTGGAGCAATCCAAAGCAACCTACAGCATCCTTCTAGGACTGAGTTTTGGGAAACGGAACATGAAAGATACGTATTTGAATAAGCGAAAGTATTTATATTATTTATTATTGCTTTATGACTAAGGAGCAAATTAATAATTCTTATTCACGGGATGAGGGCATCATTGGCTAGGCCAGCATTTATTGCCCATCTCTCATTGCCCAGAGGGCAATTAAAAGTCAACCACATTGCTGTGGGTCTGAAGTCACATGTGGGCCAGACCAGGTAAGGATGACAGTTTCCTTCCCTAAAGGACATTAGTGAAGCAGATGGGTTTTTTCCAACAGTCAACACTGGATTTGGGTCATCATTAAACTTTTAATTCCAGTTTTTTTTAAATTGAATTCAAATTCCACCATCTACCATAGGGGAGATAATACAACTAGGCCATCACCTCCCCTATTTACAAATAAGGAGTCTCCCATTAAAGAGGAAGACAAGGTAGAATCTTCTCTCTCAGAGACTGGCAAGTCTTTGAAACTCTGTCTTCCCCTGACAGCAGTAAAGGCATAGTGGTTGAATACCTTTTAAGGCAGAAGTAGATATATTTTTGACTAACATGGGAGTCAAAGGTTATTAGGGGTAGGTGGGAATGTAGATTTGAGGCCACAAGCATACAAGTGATTTGACATACTAGATGACTCCATTACGTCAGCTCCAAAATTCTCATGCAAGCTCTATTTGGCATGTATGCTAACACCCCTCTTTCTGCCAAGAAATTCTTCACTCTCAGAAATGAGTTCCAATGTTTCACCCACCTTCCAAGTTGGTGCATGGGATCAAGGTGGCAATATGGGCCATGTTGGCAAAAAACTGCACAGGTGTTTAAAATATGCCCACACAAAACTGGTTTAAAGCCAAAAGCTGGAACACTTGCTGATGTGTCAAGTAACTACTGCAGTGAGGAAACTCAATATTAATGAAAAACTGGTGCAAGAACAAAAGAAGGAACTGGCTCTGAAGAAGATGCCCAAGGCCAAATACACCATGGTTTTAGGTTGCAGCCATTGGCCTGATCAAGCAGCATGAATTGGAAAGGGTCCTTGAAAATTGCCATGAAATGACGACATGTCACCAGAAAAACAATACGTATTTATGCACTTGAGAGGACCAAAATCAAACCCATAGTCCTGCAAAAACTTCAAAGCAAAAGCTCGCTCGTGTAGCTGCTTTATGGAATGAAAATGTTTGTGCAGCAGAAGACCAAGATCAGTTGCTCTCCACTAAGGGATCTCGATGCTAAAATTACCGGTTTCCAGCAATTCAACATTAGATTCGTAAATAAAACATGTCTAACAAATGAACTGCAGAAAGGAAAGGTCTAAAAACAGTTCTATTCAAAACTGCCGCACTGGCCAGGTAGGTTGCAATGACAAATGGAATTCAGCCTGGAGAAGTGTGAATTGATGCATTTGGGGAGGCCAAACAAGCCAAAGGGATCCACAATAGTGGGAGAGGAATTACGAGAGCCTGAAGTGAATGTCTGTAGAACTCCAATGGTAGTCATATAGTTGGTAAGGTAGCTCAGGCAGCATATGAAATTTTTCCTTAGTTAGTTTGACCACAACTTGAATTGTGTGCAGTTCTGGCCAAATCATTACGGAAAAAGTGTAACTGCATTAGGAAGGGTATAAAGGGGATTTATGATGCTGACACTAGGACTGGAAAAATGCAGCTATGAGGAACGATCAGATAGACTTTGATTACACGTGGTTGGGGAAGGTTAGTTCTGCATCAATATTGGGTAAAAGGAGTGCCCCAGTTGCCTGAATAAAGGACATAGCTGACTAGTGTGGGACATGTTCAGATTCCATATAACTGATGAGACAAAGAAGCACTGACTAAGAAATAAACCTAAGTGTGTGCAGCCACAAGACATTCAAGGATCATGTTCACGCCATGTTCACATCATTGGACAGTTGATTAAGAAAAAAAATTCTTCACAAGGAATCCTGCTTGAGTTTTTGTCATCAAATTATGAGTTGTTATTAAGGCACAATATAGCATCAGATTGTATCAAAACTGTGGATTAGCACACTCAACAAGGAGAGGAAGATGATCTGTTGTGGAGCGATAATTTTGAAACTAAAATGTTAACTTGCGTGGAATCCTTATGATGGCGCCATAACTAAAATGAGTCAGAATGAATTAGATGACCTATTTGCTTTGGATGCCAAAGACAATGAATTTTAGAGTTTTGAAAATATTTTGATTGTGGTTAAAGACATACATGCAGAACACATTCAATGAAACGTGTCATATTGATTTAATTTGAATTACTGGATTTTTTTTCACATTTCAAACTATACCAACAGGTGACTAGTTTTTGAGTAGATTTGTAGCTCGGGTCGTGGATGGTTGGCTCACCGAGCTGGTTCATTGTTCCGCAGACATTTCATTACCCTGCTGGGTAACATCATCAGTGCAGCCTCTGATGAAGCGCTGTTGTGTTTCCCAACCCAGCAAGATAATGAAACGTCTGCGGAACAACGAACCAGCTCGACGAGCGAACCAACCACAACAGGTGATTAGCTTCAGGTCATATTTTACATTCAGTGTGCAAGTGGATTCCCATTTTTGGAATGATTCCTCAAGATTTCAAAGGCTTATTTTTATGCTGCAATCTTGGCATATTTATGGCATTTTCCAGTTCACTCATAAGCATTACAATATCATTCTTTAACTCAGAAAATTCCAAAGTTCAGAAATGACTTGATCTCAAGCCTTCCGCACCAGAGAGATTGTAACATTGGCTTTTTTTTTTTGAGGTGTCCATAAAAGTTCACCAGAACGATACCAGGGCACAGGAAGTTAACTTACGAGACCGGGTTGCATGAATTTGGCTGGTAATTCCTCAAGCAGGCAAGTTTGAGGGAGGGTCAGACTCAACTGTTTGTGTTACAAGGGACAGGCAGCTAAGGATAAATGAAATTGAGGCACAGATCAACCCTGATCTAACTGAATGGCTGAGCAGGCATTACAGGTTGAATGGCCTCCTACAATGGTTCCTATATCCATGGTGACAGTTAGTTGGGATACCTTTTGTAAATCCAGCTGTTGACAGGCAACTTGACTCTTCCTTAAATCTCCTTCCATCTGAAGTTGATCCTTTTTTTTCCTGACCTGTAGCCTGGGAAAGCCAGAAATTAAACAGCCATTTTGAAACCACTAGCTGATTTTTAAAAGCAACATCAAGTCTGAACAATATAATAATGAATAACAAGCTGCATTTAAATAACACCTTTAACACAGACAGAAAATGACGCAAGGAAATTTCGCAGGAGTATCAGCAAATGATATTTGCACTAAGCTGCATCAAGCTATTAGGATAGATGACCAAAAATTTGGTGAAACAGGCAGGTTTTAAGGCAAAGAGAGAGTTAGAGAGGTTTGAGGATGGAATTCTAGAGCTTAAGGCCTCGAAAACTGAAAGTATGGCTGCCACTGGTGCAGTGATTAAAAAAAAACTTCTCAAAAGAGATTCATGTCTTTCCGAAGTACAATTCCTAGAATTGAACACAATGCTTCAGTTGAGGCCAAATCAGAGCTTTAAAAGGGCTCATCAAAACTCTTGCTTTTGTATTCCATATTTCTATTTATAAACCCCAGGATTCCTGATTCCTTTTTAACGACTTGCTCAATGCCCTTCTACCTTTAGTAATTTGTAGACATATGCCACCAGTGTTCCATTGCTGTTTTAGAATTGTACCTATACTCCCTCCAATTTTTTTCAATGCATAGATCTGAAATTGTCGACTGGGGCTGCCTGGAACCTTGGAGCCTCGTTGCAGCTGCATGGCTATGCAGCTTAAAGGGAAGATGGATTGCACAAATTAGTTCATGTTGCCTCTCCTCATCTCACTTCACACTTCTCTGCATTAAACTTTATCTGACATGTCTTTGCCTATTCCACCAGCCTGTCTGCCCTCCTAAAGTCTGTCACCATCCTCCTCAAGTCTGTCACCATCCTCATCATTCACAATACTTCCTGCTTCAACTCTATAACCTTCCAAGATTTCTCTAACCGAAGGCCTTCTCCAATTCTAGTCTCTTGAGCATCCCCAATTTCATTCCCCAAGAAGTCTTGTGTCATCTACAAATGTTGAAGTTGCATCCTGTAAACACATTATGCTGTAGTTATACAATTCTCAAGAGATGACACTGCAGTGGCCCCAAAATTAAGATAGCTATAATTATAGTGTGACAGGCTCACATAGGCAGGTGACATTATAAATTTGAAGAAATTTATGTCAGAATAAATTGGTAAACATCTTATGATGTTATATTATGCTTAAGTTTTGAAATAGATACAATTTACAAACTGTTCTTTTCCTTTAGCTGAATTTTCAAAATTTTTCAAAATTATGTTTTTATTAAAAATAAGTGTCAGTCCGCCATGCACTGTACCTATATTCACTAAGGGCAAATTCTTCTGCTCGTTTTTTCATTTGTGACATTTGTTTGCGATGTTCTATCTTTTCCTCAGCTTTCCGTTTCTGTGCTGCCTCATGGCCAATTCCACCACGTCCTGCAATGATAAAACATCATTCATCGACAGCTCGTACATCAAGTCAGCCTTATACCTGTTCCTTATCAGAAACGTTGCTACCCTTTATAAAAAGGTTTGCAGCATTGCTGTTTATTATTAAAGTACATCTTCACATACTTGTTTTCCAGCAAGCACTGACTAACCACACTTCCAGTTCGTCTACTTAGAAGAAGTCATTTTTAAACAACCTGTCCAGAAATGCGGTGACATACCTCAGGAAGGTGAGACTTTTACCCAGACTGTCTGGCTCAGAGATAGGGACGCTACCAATTGTGTCACGAGAAAGATCACTCAGTGTGACAGAAACAATTCATGATAATACACAGGCCTGGTTTTGAACCAGGGACCTTGTGTGTGAAGTAAGCGTGACAACCACTACACTACAGAAACAACACTTAAGGACACAATCCACAGCTAATGCCAATAAGCTGTCTAAGTTAAAGACAGTTAATATACAAATAGCATCTAACAGTCATCCTCAACCACACAGAACTGCTTTATTCCCGATCTCTGAAGCTATCCCAACATCATATCCTTGCCTCTTGTATTCTTACATCAAGAAGATTAACCCTAATTCCCTTTCTCCTCCTCTTTTATTTCACTGTTGTTGGAGATTTTTGACACCAACAAAAACCGGAGGAAGATGCCAATCAAACTGACTACTTCAGAGCGTTAATTAAACTCTCTCTCCCAGACTTGCACCACAAGTGCTTTACTAGCAGCAAACTTGCTCTCACTGCACTCATGGAACATCATTGTGGGGCCACACTATTGCTCAGCCTGGTCACCTTCCATGGGTGTGTTTCCATCACTGTACAACCGTATTCCATTTCATAGTGTCTGGGCTGATCCCATTAATTCACTTCTGCATCTCCCTTATACACATCAGCCTGCCCTTTCTCCATGTATGTACTACAAACACATCATTGAAACATGGCTAGAATAGAAACCAAAACTGAAAGGACAAAACACATTGATAAAGAAAGCAACTGGGAAAACGAGGATGTTTCACACTAAGGTATAACAAACCCAATCCAGAAGATAGACACACTTCAATACCTACCCCAATTCCCCATTACTTCCTTCTCCAATTTCCCAGATTATTCTTCTCACCAAACCCATCATTTGTTAAACCCATCTCCTGCTCCCACAATGTCTTTCCCACACGACTCTTAACAATTCAACTATTCTTTGTTCTGTAATGCATAGATTATTGAAATGACGTCCTTTGACATATCTGTATCAGAATCTTCGGCATGGTAGCTTTGGAATGAGAACTGAATCTCAATACTCCCAAACACAATTAGCTTTCTTTCAAAATGCATATCAATGTTGCTCGAGGATAAGCTTTGTTGCAAATAGAAAATGGTGGCATCTCTAAAGAATCATGGCGAGATGGGATTAACTTACCAGTCTTAATCTGCAGTGGAATAGGTTCAACAATTCCATTTCCTGAAAAAGCAAATTATTGTACTTAGAGATTTTAAATGATATACACATGAATTGTATAATTTACTAATCACTAATAATCTTGTGAAGAATTCAAAAGAAACTTCTTGACCTGGGCAGTTGGGACATGGAACTCTGAGTGGTTGAGAGAAAGAACAGGAATGCTTTTAAGAGGACGTACCTTTTACAACATGAGAAAGAAAAGGATGGATTATGTAAAATAGGACTATTGGGCTGTGGGAAAAGGAAGATAAAGAGACAGCAGGTGTGTCTGTGTAAGGCAACACAACCTTAAAGTAGAACTAGGTCATTTCAGGAAACAATTCCACATTCAAGCTGTTGGAAACCTTGTGGCCCCTCCCAACCTGCCACAAAGATCTGTTGACGATACGGTTAATTTACAGACGTCAAAACTGACATTGATGTAGTTTTTTATTAGGCAATTGCATTGAGGGATATAAAACTGAAGTGGGTGTATGGGTTTAAGATCCAGATTGTCTATGATCTAATTAAATGGCAGAACAGGCTGAAGCACAGGATGCCCATCTCCACTTTCCCCATTCTTAGGCAAGCCAGTTCTGCAGTCTGACTATACATGAAGCAGAATGAAAAAGCACTGATGCAAGTGAGCAATGGAGTGCCTCCATTACATTAAAATCAGAGCCAGATGAGCACGTTAACGTGACCATATCGCACTTAAGGTTTGCTTTTTTTTCTTCCACTTATGAATTTGGTCTGGGGATATTTTATTCCATTCAACATATAAACCTAGCTTTTGCAGATCCTGAATCCCCCTTGCTCCAATGTCTTCACTGCTTGCTATTATTTCAGTATCTTTAGAACATATTTTGACAGGTATATTAAACTAATGGCTCCCCAAGTATTTAGTATCTCCTTTGCAAATTTAAGTTCATCTCTGTCTCTGTTTCCTCCTGCAGCTTGACAACACTCCAGGATTTCTTCAACTGAAGGTCTTCTCCAATTCCAGCCGCTTAAGAATCCCCAATTTCCCATGCCAGCTTTAGAAATCCCCCTATCCACCCAACAAATCTCTCTGCCTCTTGACCTCTTTCCTCCTGTCAGACATTCCTTCATACCTAGCCGCTTGCCCAAGCTTCAGGTCACCTGTCTTCCAATCTCCTGATGCAGAAGTGGTATTGAATTTTGTTTTACGTTATGTCCTTGTGAAACACCTTGCAATGTTTTACCCTATTTATAGTTGTGATAACATGAAATGATAGTACACATTGAAATCCTACAAAACCAATGATTTTTTTAAATGAAACTATCTTTGTTTGTCATATTATGTTTGAGACTTTATCATTGCAATTCACAACAAAGTCCTTAAATATTTTGATTAAATGCCAACTGTCAACACACACACCTCAAAACCGTGTCTTAGGTCTAAGATGACTGAAAACGTACCACTTTTGCCAAGACCATGACCTTCTTTATATCCCATCTTCTGAAGCAACGTGAAGCCCTTGTTTTCACTTCCTAACGAGCTCTGTAATTTAGTCTCACGTCTCTCTTTCTCCTCTTCTTTTTTGCTCTTCTGCTTGTTTTCCAGGATCAATTCCATTGCACGCTCTCTCTTAAGGATTTCTTCTTTCACTCTCCTGACCATTATCAGTCCTGGTTTAACATCCTGCCTAGGTGAACACAAACAGCACCATTATGTTTAATTTTCTCTGCCAAATTTCTTTGCCTTGCAATCAAAGGCATTGGCTTTCCCTTGCTGGGACATGGTTTCAGGCTGCTCAGTGAGCGGTTGCTCGAGAAGCCCCATTTCTTTGTGTGCACATGTATGTGGCTATTTGAATATTGTGTAGAGTCACTAGCAGAGGGTATCTATTTTAATTTGCAACTAACGCAGTCAATAAATGGTAGCGTTGCCCACATTCAGGAAAACAAATAACAGTCAAGTAGGAGATCTCTTCCCCATTGCCCTGGAAAACACTCAATATCACTAGAACAGCTTAAATTGTCACCTGGTTGCTGTTTGTGGGAACATGGCTGTGCGCAAACTAGGGTACCACATCTGCCTATGAAACTAGAGTGAATACATGTCAAAAGTAGTTCATTGCCACGAACATAGCAGCAAACCATTCAGCCCCTCAAGTCTGCTTCACCATTCAACTATATCACGGCTGATTTTCTACCTCAATGCAATTTTTCCATGCTATCTCCTTATCTCTTGATATTTTGTAGAAATCTATTAATCTCTGTCTTCAATGGCTGAGCTTCCACAGACCACTGACGATTCACCACCCTGAGTGAAGAAATTCCTCATCTCCTAATTAATGGCCAGTGCTTACTCTGAGACTGTGTACCCTAGTTCTGGATTACCCAGTGAGGGAAACTATCCTTCCTGCATCTAACTTGAATCCTATAAGAATTTCATAAGCTTGAATGAGATCATTTCTTAGTCTTCTAAACTTTAAAGGATATAGGCCTAGTTTGCTTAAACTATCTTCATAAGACAATTTGTCATCCCATTGATCAGTCTGATGAACTCTAAGGCAAGTAATACTTTCCATATGCAAGGGATCTGAAACTGTACACCGTACTGCAAGTGCAATCTCATAAATATTCTATAAATTGCAGCAAATCTTACTCTGCCACTATCTTACCACAGTGTGAAAAGTCATTGTATTATTATAAGTTCTGTGAATTCATATATCACTGTTTACTGTATTTAACATTATAATGGTATTGGTTCTGTCATGTTTAAAGTAACATGAACAAATTATTGTAACTACTTTCAGCTAAACCGACTACTATTTCACTAGAAAAAAAATCAGCTGGGCTGGCAGCATCTGTGCAGAGAAAGCAAAGTTAACCTTTCAGGTCTAGCGACCCTTCTTCAGAACTCATAGCAGCTAGGAAAAGCCTGGGATATATGCTGTTTACTAAATAGAGATTAAACACTTTCAGTAGTACGTCCTGTCTCTATTCAACAGAAATTGTTGGAAAAACTCAGCAGGTCTGGTAGCATCTGTGGAGGGAAAGCAGAGTTAACTTTAGAACTGGAGAAGGGTCACTAGGCCCGAAAGGTTAACTCTGCTTTCTCTTCACAGACGCTGCCTGACCTGCTGAGTTTTTTTCAGCAATTTCTGTTTTTGTTTCTGATTTCCAGCATCCTCAGTTCTTTAGTTTTTCTGTCTCTATTCAACATGTTTAACATCAGCACCCTCTACGATTAGGCCCAAACCCCGGCCTCTATTCGAATTCTTACTGCAAATTGACGAACACATCCGACATGTAATCATCTTTCTCCTCCTGCCGCGTACTCGAAGCCGCCATCTTCCCAACCAGAGGCTCTCTCAGCATCAAAAAGAGTAGCGAATGCACATGCGCAGAGCCGCCGGAAGACCGGCAAGCTACAGGTAGAACTGTAGCTGAAGGAGCACTGCGCACGTGCGCAATATGGAAACGCACCACTGCCGCTGTAAATGCGCATGCTTCAAACAGGTGGTCCGGCACCATGAGTGACAGCGCGTGCGCAAACAATCCCCTTTGGGTGGGGGGGCGTTACAGGCGGCTGTGCTGCGCGTGCGTACTGTCGGTGACAGGTTGTAGTGGTGACGAGCTGCTGATGCCGGCCCTGGGGGAAGCTGCGGCCTCGGAGTCACTGACAGACTGAGCAGTAGGTTTTGCCCGCGGCGGACTGAAACCTTTACCGCATTCCCAAGCTAGGGTCTGCAAGCGGAGAGTGGGTGAGTAGCTGGGACTCGGTGCGGCGCTGCGGCCCCGGGATTATTGGCCCGGCGCATCGGCCTGTCTCCGGCCAGGGGCTGAAGGGGGACAGGGTATTGTTCAGATTCCTTTCATCCCGCTCTCCCCCCGGACACCACGACCACCACCTCCTCTTGATCCGTCCTCCTCCTCAGCTCCCTTACTGTAACACATCCCTCTTCTATTCCCACACCCTTTTGCTGTGTGCCCACCCTGATGTCACAACCCTGTCCTGGGCATGTCCCAGAGCTGCTCTTGCCCTGTCTGCTCCTTGCCTGTCATATTATGCCCTCTCTTGCCCATTTGCCCGTTGTGCTGGGCCTGCTTGTGCACCATACCCAGCATTGCCACTGTACCCATTTGCTTGCCATACCCAACCACCCCCACCTGTCCCCTCCCAGTTTTTATTCCCGATTCGTTGCATGATAAGAGTTTTTTTTTCATTTTGTGCTGCACAAGGGTAGTTTTTAGTTAGTGGACTGGAATCATGACATTTTGTGCTCAGCAAACTCCCAAAAACAGCCATGTGATCACTGCCAGATTATTTGTTTTAATAGTTTTGGGGGATAAATATTGGTTAAGCTCTGAAAGGAAACAGTTTTGCAAGTTGTACTAATTATTGTGGCACGCTACCTTGAAACATTGCTCGATGGACGATGAGGTGATGTCAAATTTCATTACATTGAAGTTTTTTTTTGTACATGCTTCTAGCTAGACATTGAGGAGCAGGTATTCTTGGGGCAATGCTCTCTCCTCCCTGACCAGGCTGACAACTCATTTAAAGTACATATTGAGTAATACGCTGGTGGGAGGAAAAGATTAAAATATCTTCCTTTTTTAAACTCATGAGCCAACATGTTTGAGTACAAATCCACATTTTTAGTTATAGAAATACAGGACAGGCATCAATATGCGTTCAGATTGAAACCTTTAATATTTCAGCTCAATTACATTTATTTAGGTATTAATCTGGCGTTCAGTCTCTCCAGCCTCTTTTGTCACCCAGTAAGGTCATTGTTGCGAATAAAGAAGGACAAAGAAATTGTTAAAAAGAGGATAGAATATGAATGTAAAATAGTAAATATAAAAGCATGATGTAAAACCCTCTATGAGTATGCAAGCAGGAAAAGATTAGCAAAGACAAATGTGGATCCATTACAGGCAAAGACCGGAGAGTTTATAATGGGAAATAGAAAAATGCCAGAGAAGCTAAACAAATACTTTGTATGTGTGTCTTCATAAATCAAGATACAAGCAGTGTCCCTGAAATGATTAAGATCCAGGGTCCCAGTAAGTGTGTGGAGTTGAAAGAAGTTCCTGAAAGAAGAACTGAAAAATGTATTGTTGGAGAAATTAATGGGACTCAAAGTTGACAAATCCATGACAAATCATGATTTTCACTTGATTGTTCAAAGGGATGGCAACAGAGATAATGGATGTATCAGCTTTCAAAGTGTATAAATTCAACAGTAACACTTATAGATTGTAAAGTTGTAAATGTACCCACACTTTAAAAATGGAAGAAGAGAGAAACAGGACAGTAGTAGGGAAAATATTAGAATCAGTTCTATGGAATATGATTACTGCATTTTTAAAGTATAATTATCTGATTGGACAGAGTCAACATGGATTTATGAAGGGGAAATTATGTTTGACAAACCTGACAATTTTTGAGGATGTTAGAAATAGAGTTGATAACGAAAAACCAGACGATCTGGGGTATTTGGATTTTCAGAAGACTTTGTTAAAGTCTTGTACAGGAGATTAAAGTTCAGGGAATCAGGAGTAATATACTACCATGGATAGAAGATTGGTTAATGAAGGGAACACAAAAAAAGGTCATTCTCAGGTTGCCATGCTGTGACTAGTGGGGTACCATAAGGATCTGAGCTTGGGCCCCAGCTATTCACAATATAGGTTTACTTGGACTTTGTGGTTTTTGATATAGTTCATTCAAGGCTTCAATAAGAAATTAGCATGTAAACCTAAAGCACATGAGAATGGAGGTAATAAATTGACGTGGATAAAGAACTATTTGGCAGACAGGAAAGAAAGGGTAGGAATAAGTGGGTCATGTTCCGACTGGCAAAGAGTGACTAGTGAGGAAGGATCAGTGTTTGGACCCCAGCTATTCACAATGTATATTAATGATTTAGATGAGGGAACTAAATGTAATACTTCCAAGTTTGCAGATGAGACGATGCTGACTAGGAGGATTCAGAGATCCTTTAATGTGGTTTGGACAAATTATGAGTAAATAAATGAAGTATAATGTGGACGAATATGAGGTTATCCATTTTGGTAGTAAAAACAGGAAGGCAGATTATTATCTGGATGATAGATTGGAAAAGGGGAGGTGCAAAAAGACCTGGGTGTCCTCATACACAAGTCACTGAAAGTAAATGTGCAGGTGCAGCAGGAAGTGAACAAGGCATTCATAGAGAGAGAATTCCTATACAAGATCAGGGATGTCTTGCTTCACCTTGTATATGGTAATGAATTTTGGATTTCTTCTTAAGTAGAAACATATTCTCGATGTCTACATTATCAAATCCTGTCATAATCTTAATTACATTTTACAGGCCATCAGTCATTTCAAGAATCAAGTCCTGGTTTGTTTGATGCTTTCTCATTTGTGTAACCTTTCAGTTTGGCCATAATTCTAGTGATATTTACTTGCACCACTTCAATTATCTCAAGTCTTTTTTTTTACGCTATTGAGACTGGAACAACTTTCAGTACTCCAGATGTGGTCTAACCAAATTTCTATACAAATTTAACATGATCTCTCTACTTTTTAGCTCTGTTTCTCTAGTGTGAACCTTTAGTGTTTTGTTTGCATTTGTAATGGCCTTATTAACCTGGCAAGAGTTTTGGACCGGTCATTCTTAAGGCTCTTGTGGTACAGTAGTCATGTCCCTACTGCTGGACCAGGAGACCAGGGTTTAAGGCCCACCTCCCCCAGAGGTCAGTCATAATGTACCTCAACAGGTTGATTTAAAAAATATCTACACTGGTCACTCTATGCACCCACGTGCTTATTTTTAAAGTAGTTCTTCTTGAATAGGCATTGTGTAATTTGTCATCTGTGAAGTGATGGTCTAAGTAAATGTTTTTTCACAACAGGGCTGAATTGTAACCCTGGACTATATGTGAGGCTGAATCCTCTGTCTGCTTATTTCTGGTTATTTGTGGGCTGTGCCCAGATAACTTAGTGGAATGGAGCTAGCCCACAGCTTACTGTTAAATGAAGAAGCACTGGCACAGATAACTGAAGCAAAAAGGCCTGTGTTTATTTTTGAATGGCTACGATTCTTGGACAAAGTACTTGTGGCTGCTAATAAGGTGAGTAAAAGTCTGACTTGTTTAGGGTTTGAATGTTTAATTTCAGAAAGAAAAGGCAAACGAGCAGGTAGAACTAGAAGATAGAGTAATTGGAAAATAGCAGCATGAATTGTAAATGATTGATCCTCTGGCATTTTAGAGTGCAGCAGCATTTCTGGTAAAATAATTGATTGCAATTTTTAAGCAGGTATCAACCTAGAAGTGTATTCCTACAAGTTCAAAGAGCATACAGAATTGTATGATTGAGAAGAAAATTGAAGTCAAATGCCAGGGCAGTAAAAATGAAACCGCTATGCTGTCATTTCCTGAGGAGAAGAATCGCTGTACCGGTTTCTTTGTCCCTTCTCCACCTTGCCACAAAATAGAAATATGTCTATCCAGCTGATCTGCTGTATCTTTCCTTTAGGCTGAAGTGATCCGGTAGTAGGATTCTGCAGTTGGAAACTTTTCTGGTAATAGTGGAGTAAGAATCAAGTCCGGACCAGCTGACCAGAGATTCTGGAAAAGGTGTAAGGGTGGAGGGGTAGATGAGTGTAGAGTGGAAGGTGAGGGTTTTGAATATTGAGGTACTTGGAGTAGCATAGGACAGGATATTGGACTCTGAGATAGCAAGAACTGCAGATGCTAGAGTCAGAGACAGCACAGTGTGAAGCTGGAGAACACAGCAGGTCAGGCAGCATTAGAGGAGCAGGAAAGTTGATGTTCAGGTTGAGACTCTTCTTCAGAAATGGGGAGGGGGAAGGGAACTGGCAAATAAATAGAGAGAGGAGGGGTGGGGCTGGGGAAGGTAGGTGGGATGGTGATAGGTGAGCGCAGGTAGGCAGTGGTGGGGATTGGTCAGTGGGATAGGTGGAGCGGATAGGTGGGAGAGAAGAGTTGTCAGGTCATGGAGGCGGAGATGAGAGGGAGGGTTGGACATGGGATGAGGCCAGGCGTGGGGACATTTTAAAACTGGTGAATTCCATGTTAAGGCCAGCAGTCTGTAGGCTCCCGAGGCGGAATATGAGGTGCTACTCCTCCAATTTGTGGGAGGTGTCATTGTGGCGCTGGAGGAGGCCCAGGATGGACATGTCATCCAGGGAGTGGGAGGGGGAGTTAAAATGGTTCGCAACTGGAAGGTGTTGTCATTTGTCATGTATAGAGTGCAGATGCTCTACGAAATAGTCACCACGTCTATGCTTGGACTCACCAATGTAGAGGAGGCCACATCGGGAGCAGCGGATAAGTAGACCAAGTTGGAGGATGTACAGGTGAACCCCTGTCGAATATGAAAGGTTTGCTTTGGGCCTTGGATGGAAGTAAGAGGGGAGGTGTAGGGGCAGGTGTAACACTTCCTGCGGATGCAGGGAAAAGTGCCG